TGTGCATTATGTAACCATTAATGTATGTGTACCAAAGCCCTTAAATATAAGTGAATGCGTTCAAAAAATGATTCTCAACTCATGTGATACTTAAAATATTATTATTACGGATCGACCTTACTAAGCCCCCATATGACAATTATTATTTAAAAATTCTTTTTTTTTACTTACTTATTTTCAACCATACATTTATATATATTCTGCACATAAATCCAAATTTTTTTCATACTTTTCAATCTCATAATTTCCTAAAAATCATTATTCAAAACATTATTTTGGCCAAATAATGGCCATCAAACAGTGGCTAAACATGCCATTAATTAGAAAACAAATGACCAACTTAGTATTAAATTTGAGATATAATTTTGTTTTGAGAAAATGTTTTAGAGAGGGTTAGAATTGAGGCAGTTATTTCTTGTAACCCTTCAAAACCGCATATAGAAGGATGCAGCCTAGTGGGAACAGGCTTCGAACATCAACTATTAGGTCTTGGTTCGAGACATGAACCAGGTTGTGACTTAGGTTTGAGTCTTTTTTTTTTTTTTTTTTTTCAATGAGGTGTCTTTGTTTAAAGGAGAATAAAGATTTGTCTGTATTTCGGTTCAAGAGAAATAGAGGCTAAAGCAAAATATCGAACCTTTTTCCTTAACCAAGAATCGAAAACTTTATTTTGCTTTAAAATGATTCAACATATATAGTTCAACAAAATAAGTTATTATATAACTTTGCACTCTTTGATTGGTTTTTTTGTTTCAGTAAAAACTTCGCATTAGTCGGGCATGCCTCACTCTCATAGACCAAGTCACCAAGGGTAGTCGAAGTGTTGATTCTAAACTTTTTTCCGGGGCTAGGTCAGAGCTAGTTTTATGGGCAACCTCAAAACAACACATAGCTCTACATTAACATGAATTAAATTCTTCTTTTGTAGGAACATTTGCTTAAAAACGTTATAATTATCATTGCACATTCATTGAAGCTTTGGTCACTAACTTCCATGTCACCAGATCACAAATTATTGAGTTTTTTATGATAACTTATTTTGATATAAAATAACTGGTTTAATTCAATGTAAAGTTAGGAAAGACAAGACTTACACCTCATAGACTTGTATCATACATTCAAAACTACATTGGTTGAACCTTTATCCTTTACAACTCTTTAAATTTTTGAGTGTGTCTTGATAACAGTAGACTGAAATTATCCTAGAATTCACCATTTCCTCATGAATTTATCTTGACTTGAGAACTTTTTGCTCAGTTTTATCCAAATTTTGCCGATGGAGCAATCCCATTTTTCACATTGAGAGAATTAGTTAAAATATGTAGAATTTCTTACTTTTTGTGGAAGATTATCCAACAGCGTCCGAATAAGTATAGTCCAATCTTATAATATTGGTTGAGCCAGCCCATTATCAGGCCCATGTATACTATTCAAGTCTAATACGATGATGTGATCCGCATCAGCCTTTTGGGCCTACTGAAAAACAGCAAGCCCATCCTAAAACCCCAGCCACTTTACCGATATAATCCCTCACTTTCAAATCCCCCCCTTTCAAATTTGCAGTCACTTCCTGCCTCGCCAATCCGAGAAAAAATGCCGGTGGGACACGGTTTGATGGCACGAACTCGGGATCTGTTCGCAAGGCCCTTCAGGAAGAAGGCTTCGACACGGCTCTCGGTCTACTTGGAACCTACAAAATGGGGGATTATGTGGATGTCAAGATGATTGGTCCATTCAAAAGGGCATGCCCCATAAGTTCTACATGGCTGCGCCGCTCGGGTCTGGAACGTCACCAAGCGAGCCATCGGCGTTGAAATCAACAGCAGGTCCATCCATTCAATATTTTGTTGGTAATCAAGCAATTCAACTCGATTATACAAAAAAGGAACCTCGATTTTGCTCACCTAATTCGTGTTTCTTTTAATAACCAGTATGATTTATATCCAGTTTAATGTAGAATTACGTTTAACTGTACTGTATGCAATTCTTCCTGGGGTTGTAGATTGTATAAATAAAGAGAAGAAGGAAATGTTTTAGATAGAAAGGCTATTCCATTTCCGCTGTTCTAGTTCACGAATCCTTTTCTAGTGGACTTGGCTAGAAAGTCTGAAAAAGAAAGGAAGAAGTTGTAACTTGGAATAGAAGCTCTTTTCGTCACTCGCTTTCAAGGATAGAAAAGAAAGACGGTCGGTATCCAATCTTAGAAGGNGAATCCAATCTTTGAAGGCTTGTAAGGGATGCCATTGAATCAATATCCCTCCGTCTCTCCCTTCAACATTGGCCTATTTCTTTGTAAATATTCAATTTTCGACCAGCTCTTCTTGTCTGTTTAACCACCATGAATCCACATTGGTCTGTCATTTATTGAACCTTGAAAACTATACAAATAAAATGGTGTGCTTGTATATGAATTCAGGTTGGTAATAGGCACGTCCAGCCCAGTAGGTGCCACAACGAACTCCTGCTGAAAATCAAGTTGAATGATAAGTTGAAGGCTGAGGCCAAAGGCTCTTGGAGAGGTTAGAAGCACCAAAAGACGGCCTCGGGGACCAAAATCCTGCTTCCTGGTGGAAGGCGCTACTTTGGAAACCGTAACGCCTATTCCATACGATGTTGTCAATGATCTGAAGGGAGGCTATTGAGTTAAGCTTTCATTTGTCTGGATAATTTATTACGAGCAGCTTGTGTCCTTGATATTTTTTCGATTTACAATGTATGTGGAGGCACAACTCCATTGAAATTTTGTGTTGAATGACATACCACAGTTCTCTCTTTCATTTATTTGATGTGCTTGCTTTTGTGGTCATCTCACTCAATCCTACAACATAAACTTGAGTCGAGCCGCTACAAGCGGGAAAAGGTCCATCTTGTAACCAGAACAAAAATCCTATGGATCAGTAAAGATTTGTTTTGGATCATGCCTCCGTTTGATAGACAAAGGTAGAAAAAAATTCTAATTCTATATTAGTTGGAAAATAAAAATCCACCAATCCATGGGAATTCGTTTTCCCTGAAAACAAAGAAAATGTAACTTAAAGTGGTTGTACCTTGGGATTCGATTTCAATTTCCAAATTGCAATCAAACGGTCAAAATGAAATTCGTTTTCCTCAAATGTGACATTTTTCATGAAATTCGTTGCAATCAAATAGGACCGAAATTCTCTATAAAAAAGTCTCCAAGAGGACTTAATTGATTCATGATTTATTTTTCATCTTTCGCTTCCTTTTTTTTTTTTTTTTGCTTTTAAAATGTTCATGTAATTTACTCTTTGGTAAATTTGATAAAATGTAAGATTTACTGAATAAAGAAAGAAATTGCAGAAGTTAACTAATATATTTTCATTTGCATAAATTTAGTCCTTATTTGATAGAAATTAAAATTTAGAATTTAGTATAAGTCAACAATTAATTTTAACTACACATTTTATCAATTTTTATCAAAATTTATTAAAATTTTAATTTTAATTCTCACCGAATAGGAGTTGTAACTGAAAATGACGTCTAATAAAAAAAATTAAATGAGAAATTGTGCGCAACCTCGCAATATAATTTATTTTTTCGGTATTCTACTTCAATAGTTTAGAGTTATCAAGAGGAAAAAATAAAATAAAAAAATAGTCAAAGCTGAACAAAAATAAGATATTTTAAGACATCATAGTTATCTTCTGCGTATATTTTTTTATTTTCATCCTCATCCTTTGTGAAATATAATAAATTTATTCACAACTTCTAATTTAGTATGATTCATCCCTGACCTTTCAATTATGTAACAAAACTTGTCAATTTGTACAACCGAGATTGAGAACCACTCACATGGAGGGTCCACTTTTTTTTTTTTTGAATTTTTTAAACACGCGAACCCCGCACACATGTACAAGTAGAATTATCCTCCTCTATTTTGACCATTAAATGATGGAATAATGTTAAGTGTACACAATCTTTTACACAATTTTTTACACCCACCTCACATGGAGGGGGGCCCACACATAATAAAATAATCGTGGACCCCCCTCCATATGAGAGAGGTGTAAAAGATTGTGTAAAAGAGTAGATCNAGTGAGTGAACTTGGTTTGGGAAGATGAAATTTTTTAATTTCTCTTTTTTTTCTTATGTATTTAACTATTTTAAATAAGATTTATTTTACTTTTTGAAAAGTAATAGAACTCTACCCGTGATTTTTCTTATTCTGGGCCTATTTGATTCTTATTGTTGTAGAATGAGAATGAAAAATATAATCGTTATTGGGTCCCACACAAGAGATAGAAATTCAAAATTGATGGCTTGATATGATAGAAAAATGTCATATTTTTCATTTTAATGAATGAAAAATGAAAAGTAAACAGAGGCTTTATATCGTTTTATTGCTTATTTGAAGAGGAGGTAAAATCCGTTATTTAATTGCCAAAATGAAAGAAGTAACGAGTTCCGTTACATAATTGAAAGATTGACGATGGATTATGTTAAAAGTGTTGAAAGTAGATTTGTTACATTTTGTAAAGGTTAGGGATGAAAATGCAAATTTACTTATTTATATAGATTTAATGGATTATCGCACAAAATAGTCGCGCAAAGACACATCTCCCTCCGTTCCTTCTCTCCTATTTTTCAGTTAGTCTCTCTGTAAAACCCTTATTGATCAATCGACCCCTTTTAGTTCTTTCTCTTGTATCGAAAAATATCAGGCAAGCAAAGGCCAATCTATCTATTCCCTCTAAATTATCCATCCTCCGCATTTCGATTCAATTCCCCCTCATTTCTGTAGATCTTCACTCGGCCATATTTGTTTAATAATTCTTAATTTCATTATCTAGGGTTTTAACAAAGAGACAGAGCGCAAGTCTGGCGACTGGCTCCGGAGACAGGTGATGGCGGATCCCCCACAAGTCCGCCAGCGGTTGATGCTTGAATATCTAATTTTTGCTTTCTTTGGGTTAGGGTTTGAAGGAACGGTGGCAGGAGAAGAGTTTGAACCATTGAAATCTAGAGAGCTTTGTGAAAAATGCTGAGTGTGCTTCGGTTGCACCTTCCATCGGACATTCCGATCGTAGGGTGCGAGCTGACGCCCTACGTGATCTTGAAGCGGACCGACAAGTCTGTCATCACTGAGGATGTAAACGAGTTCAATCCCCTTGATGGCCAGTTCTTAAAATACAGATGGTTAGTTTCTTACAATTATTTTATCATCATATGTTTTGCTTCTTAATTGAGTGCTTAGAGGTATTACCATTTGATTCCCGGATATCTTGTTTTGTTACATGCCCGTCCAGCTTAGCTCCAGTCTTTGCAGATTGTTTTTTATTGTTATTTTCTTGAAACTCAGTTAATTTTCTTTGACTAGATTGTGATATAAATAAGACAGACAAGAACATTTGTAACATCGTTTTCTTGTTATTACTCTACAATTCACGTTGGGTAATGAGTGTGAAGATGATGGAAAGTCATTTGCTGTTAATTCCAATCAGGTAAAATAATAAATTATAGGGAAATACAAAGACGAAAATCATGATATTAGACTGGGTATTCTGTTGGAAAACATACCTTGCAATAATGGGTTAAGGGGTTTTCAAATTGCTTTTCCCTGTTCTCTCTCTCTCTCTCTCTCTCTCTTTTAAACTCTTTTAAACTCTTTTTACTGCAGTTTTCCATGCTTTCAAACAATAGGTGTTGCCTTGTCGGTTATGACTGGTGCTGATAAATTTTCACGTGTTCGGTTTTGCCTGCTGTTCGGAGATAATTTTTGCCTTATCTCAATATCCACAGTTAATATCTTGTTTTGAGTCCCCGGATTGTGCATGCGGTTTTTGTACTTTCTTAATTATGCTTTTGGACTTCTATCTGTCCCAGTGTTTAAAGGCAACATAATGATCTGCACATAAAAGATTAACATGCTAATATTGTGTTAGCTACATCTCAGTGCCATGTTTCATACTCTGCTGGAGTATTATGTGTAATATTTCCTAGTATAAAATCTTTAGTGGCTTCAATAGTTAATGGGGATTTGAAGATAGTGGCTTTAAATAGACTTGTGATATCCGGTGTTTACTGGAAATGGATAGTTGCTATTTCATTTCTCTTTGTGACTTTGCACTCTGCTCACTACATATTTAGCTCCAAAGAAAATTCTTCTGCTAAATGTCTTGAAATGCTGTTCTCCCATCTGCCACGCTAGGTACGATAAATCATTTTACTATCACTGATGTTTTGCCCATTTGTATTCATAAATGGGTGAGTTTTGTGGGTTTTGGTACAGATTGGTGATAGAATCAATTGTGTCCATCTTTTATGCATGGTTGTTTGTGAGTAATTTCTTGACGTACAAATAAATATGCAGGTATCGCGTACAAAGTGATAAAAAGGTTGCAGTCTGTAGTGTACACCCATCGGAACAAGCTACATTACAGTGTATTGGATGCGTTAAAGCCAAAATACCGGTTTCTAAAAGTTACCATTGCTCGTCCAAGTGTTTTTCAGATGCATGGCAACATCATCGTCTCCTTCATGAGCGTGCTGCTAGTGCTGTGAATGAAAATGGAAATGAGGAGGAAGAAGTATTTGCACGCATTAATGGTCAAGGTAATACAGGAACTGGTGTGGTTAATACGAGCTTGTCTGCATCGCAGTCAAGTTCCAGCTTGGGGAATAGCACAACTTTGTATCCTGCTGCTATTCAGAGCAGTGATGGTGAAACAATGTTTGAAGTTGGACGCTCGAAGACGTATACACCTACAGCTGATGATATTGGCCACGTACTTAAGTTCGAGTGTGTTGTGGTAGATGCTGAGACAAAATCAGCTGTGGCACATTCAAGTACAATAATGACTTCCCGTGTGATTCCAGCTCCATCTCCCAGTCCCCGACGCTTGATTCCGGTTAGTGGCATTGATGTGCCAGGGCATTTTGATGTGGATGGTCGTATATCATCTGTGGGAACATTTACAGTGCTATCATACAACATTTTATCAGAAGTATACGCCACAATTGAATCATACAGCTATTGCCCTCCTTGGGCTCTTTCTTGGGCTTATCGTAGGCAAAATCTATTGAGAGAAATAGTTGGCTACCGTGCTGACATTGTTTGTCTTCAAGAGGTAAGTAATAAAATGAGAAACTGGCTTTTGCTTTACTGAAGCTTTAGAAATACATTTTATGAGAGATTTAAGTATTGTTACTGTCGTAACACTAGAAATGTTTTGACGGAAGAATTTGAAACTTAGAAGAAATGTGGCACGTGTTTACTGTCTAGACAGTTGACCTGGTTCTATATAAAATCTTTGATTTTTTGTTAGGCATTTGCCTGTTTGATGATATAAATGGCGTGTTTTTTCACCTTTTTTTCCTAGGTTAGGAACCATTTTTATTTCAAAAGATTCTTTAAACGTTATTGCATCCCCATGATGGATGATTTTGAATGTTACCATTCTTGTTAAGCCATTCTGTTGTAGTTGAGTAGTCATGTTCAGCTTAGGAATGAAGGTGAAGGATGCATTTTCTATCTTTCTTGTACAAAATTTAAGATAGCACTCGTACTCACATGTACTAAAAGGCAAAACCAAATATTTCTTGACAAGTCTTTGCTCGAGCTTTAGTTAAATAATTATTTTCCAGATAGTTTTTTGCCATCTTTTATTCTCAATTTTCTCAGGTTCTTCTATGTAGAAATGGCTTCTCCTTCAAGTTAGTTAGCCTACTGGAGTGTTATTTTTGCACTTCTAAGTGAACATTTGTTTGTCAACTTTTGCTTGTCATCCATGCTAAAATGATATAAAGCTGATGCTTGGTGTTTTGGACCTTTCATCTGCAGGTTCAAAGTGATCACTTTGAGGAATTCTTTGCACCTGAGCTGGACAAACATGGCTATCAAGCTCTGTTTAAAAGGAAAACTGCAGAGGTTGGTCAAACCATCTATCGACCCGTCATTTGAAAATAGTTCTGTAACTAACATATGATTCTATTGATGTTTGCAGGTTTATAATGGAGATGTCAACAGTATTGATGGTTGTGCTACCTTCTTCCGCCGGGATAAATTTTCACATGTCAAAAAATATGAGGTGGGAAGCATGGCCTATGTATTGTTTTAATCCTTTCTTGTTGTTTTAATCATAGATATGCTAATATCATTTGTGTAGGTTGAATTTAACAAAGCCGCACAATCTCTTACTGATGCTGTGGTTCCAAGTGCTCAGAAAAATACTGCCCTAAATAGATTGGTAAAGGTATTGTAACGTTTTTAAAAGCTCATCTTTCTTCCCCTGGACCTTACAGTTTTTACTGTTACTTTTCAAATGGAAATTTCTGACCCCACCCCCTTTTCATATAGGATAATGTTGCGTTAATTGTTGTTCTAGAGGCCAAATTCAGCAACCTGGGAGTCGATAACCCTGGGAAACGCCAGCTTGTTTGTGTGGTAAGTTATTGGGAATAAAATTCCCATTGTATCATTGCATTTATTTGTATTTGATGTCAATGCCATCTTTTTTACAGCTGATTGCTTCTTGCCTTCTTTCTTTTATTTTGATGTTTGCCTGCATATTACCCTATGTGTTACTGATTTGTGGTCACTCACGGTTCTTAATTCTTGCTGGGCTTGACTCTTCAGCACATGTTGTCTAATATTGAATTAGGGCGACCTCTATCTCCATCTTGAAAAGAAATGTTACTACGACTCAGCAAATAAATGAGAAAACGCACTGGACTACTTTGAGGCTCTTTTTTATTAATCTTGCTTTTCTGCTATGAGTTTAGTTGATTAGGCTTCTCATGGATGGCTGGGGAATGATGGAATAAAGACATATAGGGCTTTAGGAATTCTGGTCAGAAGGAAAATGTCAGGTGTAGAGGCATGGTCAAATTGATTGCCCATCTTTAAGTTTATCCGACAGCAAATGATGTTATGATAGGATTAGATGTTTATTAGTGCCAAGATTGTATGGTCTGGAAGAGGAAGGAATCATGATTGGATAGTGTGAGTAGCCTTTCCTTTCATCCGGCAATGCCAATGCAGGGAATCGGGGATTGCTTATGAGCTATGATGCTCGGGCTCGGGTGCGGTTGTCGGATACGATTACCTATCTAAGAGTACGGTTAAAAATTATCCGAATTTTGGATATGGGTACGAGGATTGGTCTTACAAATTTATTTTTAAAAAAAATGACGGAAAAATTATTTTATTTTATTGTAATATAAGTACTGATAGTTTTATAATTAATAATACTGAATTTGTGATGTTTTAATTACTATATATAAAAATTGACATGAACAGAAATAAGAAAAAAATAATTTGGTACACTAAGGAACTCAAATATAAGTATTGGACAACGTTTTGAATAAAATTAATTTAAATTTTCATTTACTTATACAAAAATTAACTGATATTACTGTTACTGATAGAAAATGAACTCATAAATTAATATGCTTATCAACTCTTTCGATAAAATTAATTTAAACAATTGAATTATAATTTGAAATCAATTTAAATTTAAAGCTAAAATAAATTCTTTACAGAAAAATTAAAGAAAGATCACAATTCCCGTGTATTATTTAGGGTGTGTTTGAGCGACATTATTTTGGAAGTATGTATTTTGAAATAATAGATTGATAGAGAATGTGTGGTTAAAAAAGAAAGAAAAGTTATTGATGTGATGAAAAATATTATTTAATTGAAGAATGAGTGATTGAAAATGAGTAGAAGAATGAGAATTTTAATTTGGCTCAAACATGGGCTTAAAAACAATTATAGAAATAAATTTAAATTTAATATAAAAAAAAGATATAGCACTAAATTATTTTAATTATAAAATAAAAATTTGCACAGATAAAATATAAGAAATAAAAAAGTTTTAACTAAAAAACTAAGTAAAATAAGTTTGACCATGAAACTTATTTCAATAAAATTTTATTAACTTTATAATTTGATTTACAAGAGTGCAGCCAATATAACAATTCCAAAATTCAGTCCAACCCACCTCAACATATTAGGTCACCCATCGTCTTCCCCCCTCTCGAGCGAATCTAGAAGCAAGACTTCGCAACTACGACATCTTCTCCCGTTTGCTGTCATGTCCGAATGCAAAGGATCCGATCCATGTCCCGTGTCAGTATCCATGTCGTGTCGTGTCGACATGGATACTTCTCCATTTTTTGGAGAGTCCGAGCATCATAACTTATGAGCTATAAGGGAGTAATGGTGTTCCAATACTTTTCCTTTGTATTTAAAAAGTGTTCATCAGGGATCCGTGAGGCGATGTGTGAGCCATGAGGCAGAAGCCTCACTGTAAAATAAAAAGATGTCGCAAAAATATTAAAATCCAAAAAGGTGCATAATATATCATAAAGAATCTTAAAAATTCATAATAGAAAAAAATTTAAATGTGGGGAAATAACAAAAGAAAAATTTATAAAGTAACATTACTTTAGTTGGTGATGCAATGAATTATTCCCAAGGTGAGGTTATAAGAAACACTACTTTTAATATTTTGGTAATACGTGATCCTAAGGTGGGTTAATTAGAAAACGCAATTTTCAAATTTTTTTGGAATAGCGGGGCAGTGGGCTATTACCAGAGTGGGTCCATCAGACTTTTAATGTTTTGTGGGCCCACTTTTAAAGCAAAGCAAATAAGTCTGGAGAGTTAAGGATCGCATGTCACACATTCAATGCACTGAGGTGTGGGCCTCCAAAAAATTACCTCACAATTAGTGCCTTGAAGAATTTTTTGTTTTTCTCGCTCTGAGGCGAGCCTTAAGATGGGATTCTATCCAGATATTTATACAATGTATTTTTCTCAGGCTGATGACATGTTAAGCGAGTGTGGAAGACAAGCTCACATAACAAAAGGAGGCAGAAATATGCTACTGTGCCATTTTAGATTCACTATTGTTCTGCCTAGTAAATTTTCCTGAACATCAAAGTTCATTTTCTTTTCATCCTTCTACTAGTGTAGTTATAGCTGAGGCTTCAACATTTCATCTGTTTATTGAGAAGGAACACATATCTGTAGACTACTTGTGCATTAGTTCTCCACATGCCATCCTCTTTGTTGGTTACTTGCGCTAAACACTGTCCTTAACTTGATAATGAGTGAGTTAGTGAATAGATCATTTCTTGCAGTGTTTGTTTCTCTCACAGCTTTGTAGGCTTTTTTGGAATTCCTATAATTCTCTATTGATATATCCATCTTTTCTTCAAGTAATATGTGATTCATTAGTAACTTCCTCTTCTACATGAGTGCAATTTTTGTTTCTATCCTTATTCTTTTTTAGTTTCTACACTCGTCCTTGAGCATTTAATGACCATTATTTTCTTACTTGTCTGAACACAGGCAAACACTCATGTAAATATGCATCAAGATTTGAAGGATGTGAAGCTTTGGCAGGTCTTTTCAGTCAGATCTTTTCTTTGAATATGTTGTTAAATCCATCTGAGTTTAGATTTTGAAGTCTAAATTTTTCTCATATCAGGTTCACACACTATTGAAAGGATTAGAAAAAATTGCTGCCAGTGCAGACATCCCAATGTTGGTGTGTGGGGATTTCAACTCTGTTCCTGGAAGGTGCATTGCTGTTTACTATTTCTTACGTGGTTGCTTGTGAGACTTGTACATTTTCATTGTAATCTAAACTAGCTTTAGTTACTTATTCGGTTCAATCCTAAAATGCAGTGCTCCTCATTCCCTCCTTGCCATGGGGAAAGTTGATCCACTACATCCAGATTTAGCACTAGATCCACTTGGAATTCTTCGCCCTTATCCAAAACTAACACATCAGCTGCCATTGGTATTGGCTTTTTGAAATTTTAAACGTTTTATATTCGTGGTCATAACATGGAAGTGTGTGCATCTGCTTAATACGTCTCCTTGTTACATTTACTCCACAGGTAAGTGCATACTCATCATTTGCAAGAGTTGCAACTGGTCTTGGTCTAGAACAGAGAAGGAGAATGGATCCTGCTACGAATGAGCCCATGTTTACAAACTGCACTAGAGATTTCATTGGTACTCGTGATTACATATTCTACTCAGGTATACACGAGGTTTTTGACATCCTTTTGATGTTCAGTGTTTGCATTGATAATTTTACATTGTATTTTGTCGCTTAATTTATTAATTTTTCTTGTCATATCATTTCTTCTAATTATTTTATGTTCATTTTCTCATGATCAGCCTTGTAGATGGTTGCACGTTATGGTGAATATATAATATTTATTAAAAGCTTTTGTTCTTTCAGCTGATTCCTTAACTGTGGAGTCTCTATTGGAGCTCTTGGATGAGGATAGCTTGCGAAAGGATACCGCACTTCCTTCTCCAGAGTGGTCTTCAGATCATATAGCACTCTTAGCTGGATTTCGGTGCAAGCCTAGAACTAGACGCTGACAATAGGTAAATAATCCTCTTTTGTTGATATACCAAAAGCTTTTATATATATATATAGCATTCTTTACTGATGGCTCTCCCTCATTCCCCTTGGTTTTGTTACTATGAACAACTCTGGTGAAAGGTTTGACCCGGCAATCTGTTTAGACGTGTCAGTTGGTTTTAAATGAGAACCAAGAGTCAACAACTGGAGTTTCATTCAGTTGCTGATACAAACCCAACATGGGAGAAGGCTTTTAAATTGTTTTCAGGAACATAGGAGCTCAATTTTTGGTCGTGCATCCTTTTTTATATTTTTTTCCCCTTTAAAAACTGGAGTAGAAATTTTTTATGGTTTAGTCCCATCACTTGGGCTATATTAGAAAGTCTCTTGATATCAGTCGTGTAGAAAAACAAAATAATCGATGACACATCACCCTGATCAACAGAAAGTTTCCCACTTACGCGTATTATTTGGTTTCCTGCAGGTCTCTCCAAAGAAAAAATTTCAAAAATGGTTGCTCAGAATGTCGAAGAGCAAAGAAAGTGATTGTAAGAATGATAGATCATCTTCCCATGCACTTTGTAGGTGTATCCCCTTGTGGGATGTTTTGCTATGAGCTCCTTTGTATCATGCGACCATTGTCTCATAGAGAAATTATGAAAATGCAATAGTGAATTTCGTCTCTTTTTCTCCAGAAAATAGAAATATAATTATTAGTGTCTGCTGTGCAATATTATCCTGCATTGAAGTTTAGAAACTCGAAATTTTTATTTTAAAGTAACATCGGCTGGGTTACATGGAGTTTTTATTGAATTTCCTTTCAATTCCCTAGTGAATTAGTTGTTTCTTATGCAGAACAAAAATTGCAATGTTCCTTCTTATGGGCCCCCTCATTACTTATCAGATACGTTCTGTGAAAAATATGCTGATCGATAATATTTTAATTTGTTTTTAAGTTGATAATCTCAAGTTTTCTCGTTCATTTGATCTTTGGTACAAATAAAATACTGATTGCTAATCTACCAAGAAACCACACCAATGAAGCGATACATTTTTAGGAAAATTGCAGTCGAGGTACCAAATATTTCACTTATTTGCGGATTTTATCAAAACCTTTAATTTGTACCACTCACGGTACCAAACCTTTAAAAAATGAATAATGCTATTCATCCCACTGTGGTTGAACTTCGGTATATGTGGTAATTACATGGCATTAAATGATATATTCAATTAAATGAGTTATGCGACTTTGTATTTAAATGAATTTATCATATAATTGTCATATAAATTGTGGCTCAATGCCAATGGGGATGAATGACATTATTTTTAAAAAATCGCAGCAACAGTCCAAATGGACAGATTTCGTCCAATTTACCACAAAAATCGTTAGTTGACCCCATAAATAAATAAAAAATTATAATTTTTACCAAATAGGCAAAGATAATTTCGGAATTACACACAATTTTCACCAAATAAGTTTTAAAAATGAATTAAAAATTCCAAAAATAATTTTTAAAAAAACTATTCGTCTCCCACGCCACCCCACCCACAGGAAAACACCAACAGGCCAAGGCAATTTGGTGGTGACTGGATGGTGGCGGCCGACTGCTGGGAGGTAGTTGTTTTGTTTTTGGGGGTGTTGGGGTTGGGGAATAAGGAGATGGGGATGGGGTTGTGGTTTTGTTTTTTAAATTTTTCATATAATAGGGAACTGTATTATGTCCAAAATGTCCTTACTTTATTTGGAGAAAATTAAATTTTTAATTTCTAGGTCAATTGACTGTTTTTGGGGTCAAACTCACGGAATCTGTCAATTTGGATTGTTGCTGCGATTTTTTAAAGGTTTGGTACCTCGGCTGCAATTTTCCCTACATTTTTTATGCTCAAGTTAGTGAAGAAAGATAAGCAAAGTGTTGGTTTCATGTCAGTTTCAGATAGTTCCAATCGCACAAGAAAGCGCAAATCGAGTCTCAACTTCATATCTATTGATCGCGAAACCTGTATATACAGCTGCCAATCAGCTCATAACTTATCAAGCATGCCCTTTGAAAATATCAACTCTGATCGATCTACAAGTTTCTATGACCTACATATACAACAAGAGCAAACCCGAGATAGAATACAGATTTTGATCCCCAGTCCCAGTTAGGTATGGCCATGAAAGGTGTCCGAGTGTTATGCTTCGTAATTCTAATGATGGTTGTCTGTGTAAGCTCAGATTTCGCCCATGACAAAGAGCAGTGCCAAAACCAATTACTGGGTCTATCCTCGTGTCTCGATTTTGTAAGTGGGGATGTCAAAACTCCTACTACAAGTTGCTGCACTGAGCTCGGTAAAGACTTGGTCAATAACACACTTTGTCTCTGCATCCTTGTTAGAGACCGTAATGAACCCAACCTCGGCTTTAAACTCAACGCAACGCTTGCACTCCGTCTCCCTTCTGTCTGCCACGTTAAGTCGAATGCCACAGCTTGCCCTGGTAACCACAACTTAGCTTTTTCTTCTACTTCCACCTTTACTTTTAAGATGTTAAATCAATGATTTCTGGGTTGTGTGTAGATCTACTACACCTAGCTCCAAACTCACCAGATGCTCAGGTTTTCAAGCAATTTGGCAGCAGCCCAAGTGCTGGAGGTGAAGTTTTCTTTATTTTCGTACATTTTTATTTTTTTTCGTTGTTTACTTCTGTGATTCATAAACAACTCTTTTGACGATGCATGACAGCAGACCTTGGCACAAGTTCAAGCAGCAAGTTAAGCGTGTTTGGACGAGCGACGCTGGGGTCGGTTGCTGGAGTTTTACAGTGGCTAGTGCTATCAGTTTTTGTCATGAGCAATTAGGAAAAGACTCATTCTGGTCTTGTTCTTTGAAATAAAATTCAGTTATATGTTGTTTCTCTAAGCATATCAATTACACAAAAGTAGTCGATGAATAAAATATTTTCTATATGGGACTTATAATTAATTTAGCAAATATGTGTCATCGGTCATTAATTTTTTATTAGTTTCTAACTGCTTCCTCAATCTTCCGTATTTGTTGCCCTATCAAGTCAAAAAAATTCAACTTCAACATTTAAACTTCTCATTGCGCGTAACGCTACACGGGCGGGCGAACCATTTATCTCTTATGCGGAGACCAGAAGTTGTTCGCATACCAACTTCATCTTCTTTTTGCAAGTTGCAAAGCATTCAATATTTTTCTACATCTTTGCTGGGCATCCACCACTTCAACTGCTACCAATGCAACTGCAAAAAATTAACATTTTTCTTTTCAACATTATAATAAATTTGTCACGTTGGTTGGTACGATGTAGTCTGAGATGAAACGAAAGGAAAGATGAACCTCAGACGAGAAGGAGAAGGAGAAGGAGAAGGAGAAGAAGCAGAAGCCAATAAAGAAATTACTAAAAAAAATTATTGACTTTAATTTGACCCAAATTTACTAATAACTTGTTCAAAAAATTCTGAAAGAAAGCTTCTGAAATTGGTGAAATTTAGTGCTATTATTTAATTTATAACTACAATTTGCACAGAAGACAAATTTATTATTCCAAAATGTATTATACACCAAAAATGGGGCGAAACAAACTCTAAGGAATGTCATTAAAACCAAAATTTTAATAAATTATAAAAGATTATAAATTTTAATGAATTTGGTGGATTTTACGTTTGAAATATATTCAATTTTTTTTACTAATAATATTTTTATAAATTCATGAATTTAATTTTTTATTAATGATTTTATTTTCATATAAATTCACGAAGATTTTATAGAAATTCATTAAAATTTGAATGGGGAAGCCTGAATTTACCCCCTAAAATTAAAATCAAAAAGCAGGAAAACCTTAAAACAGACCAATCCCCCGTCTCTTCTTCCTCCCCACTCCCTACAGTTCGCCATGGAAGACGACGAACAGAGAATAGTAGATCTGGTTAAAGAACTAGTGCATCGCTTACTCTACGATTCTCAAAACCCTAATTCCTCCTCCTCTACAGTTCCCGCTCGACAGAAATACAATCAAGCTCTTAAATACTCTCTCCGCATTCTCTCAAGCCGCATGACCCCGTCGATAGTTTCTGACGATTCCGCTATGGTGGAGTCCATCAAACGCCACCTTGTTACCTCCGGTAAGTCCTCCGAAGCCCTTACTTTTGCCGACCTTTACTCCAAATTTTCACTGAAATCCGGGCCTGGAAGCGTAAAGAACAAATGGGCTGTCGTCTATTTGCTCAAGACAGTTTCAGAGGATCTAAAATCTCGGAAGAACCAATCCCCCAATATAATTTCTGGTGGGTTCTTAGACTCTGCATTGACTGGTGGATTGCCTACATTGCTTGAAAACGCTGAATTTAATAATAATTCTGGAGGTATTGGCAACTTGATTAAGAATTTGAATGTTGAGGAATCTAAGGATGGTCCTGATAATCTGTTGGGTCTGGGTTATAATTTTCAATCATTGAGTAATATGGGAAAATTGAAGAAGAATCGAGGTGAAGGAACACTGGGCGATTATTCTAGTAACTTGAAGCGTTTAGGTGATAATTTGAGTGGATTGAGAGTAGGAGAGAATTTCAAAGCGGGATTGAAAGGAGGGGTATTGATGGTATCCAAGGACCCAGAAAATATTCGTGAACTGGCGTATAGAGAATATGCAGACTTGGTAAAGGAAGAGAATGAGGTGCTAGAAGAGGTTTTGGTGAGGGATGTATTATATGCATGCCAAGGGATTGACGGTATGTACGTGAAGTTTGACGAGAAGATAGATGCATATGTGTTGCCAGATTTCATCAAGGTGTCAAGGGCTACTAGGATACTGGTACGGAAGCTCTGCGAGATTGGGTGGTTGTTTAGGAAAGTGATGGGATATATAACAGAAAGTACGGCTCGGTTTCCAGATGAGGATGTTGGGACTGTTGGGCAGGCATTTTTTGCTGCATTGCAAGACGAGTTGTCTGATTATTATAAGTTACTGGCCGTGCTTGAAGCGCAGGCAATGAATCCTATTCCATTGGTTTCAGAAAGTGCACATTCGGGGAACTATCTCTCCTTGAGGAGATTGTCAGTTTGGTTTGCTGAACCAATGGTGAAGATGAGGCTTATGGCTGTTTTAGTTGATTGCTGTAAGGTCTTAAAAGGTGGGGCCATGGCTGGAGCAATTCATATGCATGCACAACATGGTGATCCACTTGTCAATGATTTCATGAAGAGATTACTTCGACGAGTTTGTTCCCCACTCTTTGAAATGGTGAGGAGTTGGGTTCTAGAAGGGGAGCTTGAAGATATTTTTGCTGAATTCTTCGTTTTGAGTCAGCCAGTGAAAGCAGAATCTCTCTGGAGGGAAGGTTACCAGCTCCATGCTGCGATGCTTCCATCCTTTATATCTCAATCTCTTGCCGAGCGTATCCTAAGGACTGGGAAGTCTATTAATTTTCTTCGTGTCTGTTGCGATGATCGTGGTTGGTCTAACGCTACAACAGAAGCGGCTGCTGCAGCCGGAACAACAACTAGGAGAGGTGGTCTTGGATACGGTGAAACAGATGCACTGGAATCTTTGATAACAGAAGCTGCAAAAAGGATAGATAAGCATTTGTTAGATGTTTTGTACAACCAGTACAAGTTCAAGGAACATTGCCTTGCAATCAAGCGATATTTACTTCTTGGGCAAGGTGATTTTGTTCAGTATTTAATGGATATTGTTGGTCCAGAGCTGTCTGAGCCAGCCAACACTATAAGCTCATTCAAGCTTGCAGGGTTATTGGAAAGTGCAATTAGGTCGTCAAATGCACAGTATGACGATCCTGATGTACTGGATAGATTGAGGGTGAAGATGATGCCACATAACACTGGGGATAGAGGCTGGGATGTATTTTCATTGGAATACGATGCAAGAGTTCCACTAAATACTGTGTTTACTGAATCTGTTATGTCAAGGTATCTACAAGTATTTAACTTTTTGTGGAAACTTAGAAGGATAGAGCATGCACTAATTTGTGCTTGGAAAACAATGAAACCAAATTGCGTCACTTCTCAGTTCTTTGGTAACTTGCCACATGCTGTTAAGTTGCAGTTGATACTGACATCAAGGAAGTGCCAAGTTCTTTGGGACGAGATGAATCATTTTGTTTCAAATCTGCAGTACTACATCATGTTTGAAGTATTGGAAGTATCATGGTCTAATTTCTTAAAGGAAATGGAAGTAGCTGAAGATCTTGACGATCTACTCAGAGCACATGAGAAGTACCTCTATTCAATAGTTGAGAAGTCTCTCCTTGGAGAACGATCTTTAAACCTTAACAAGACCCTCTTTATTTTGTTTGACCTCATAGTACGGTTCCAAAGTCAAGCAGATAGATTATATGAAGGCATTACTGAGTTGCAATCAAGGTATTATTTTCTCTTCATCATCCTTTCTTTTGGTAGTAAAATTGATAACTCCAAAAAATTATGTTTTAGCTTAGCTCCTGTTTGTCACAAATTGCAGGACCACAGGCTCTTCTTTTCCTTCTCGGTCTAACGCCAAATCTCAAAGGCAATCAAATAACAAATCTTCAGAACCTGGGTCATGGCTAGGTGAAGGTAGGAAGGATTTAACAAGACATGCTGGGGAATTTCTCCGAAAGATGGGAAAAGATATAGAAAAAATTGCAAAGGAATACTCATCTGTTTTTGAGGGATTCATTTCTCAGTTGCCCATCCAACAGCACGTGGACTTGAAGTTCCTCATGTTCAGACTTGACTTCACTGAATTTTACAGCCATTTGAGACCTAGCACAGGAAGGAAGCTGTAATTGTAGCATCTGGGTCACATGTGTTAGACATGTCTAAGGCCATGCAGCATGTTTCTGTTCGCCAAAGGCTGTGTGGCATGTGATTTATACTGTGTCTTTGGCTATGTAGGATAAAGTTTTAACTCCGGCAGATTCTGGTTGAAGAACTTTCATTCTTGTATACCCTTAACTGAAGGTATGCTGTTGCCTAGTTGTGCTATTGATTAGTTTGCATGTTGTATTTGGTTACTATCTATTAGTGGGTTAGTTTTTTGTGTAGCTTTCACAAGCTTTCTATCTTGAGCTTGTAGATCTGCAACATAGTTCTGTATCGGTGAAGTACTGACTGATGATTACTTTGTTGCCTTCTTGTTTCTGGCATATTCTTGTATTGGCTTGCTTATAAAGAGAAGAGTGATGATTGTTTCACTGTATAATGTTTCTGTCTGTTTTAGCTTTAACAACCTCAAAAAGTATGTCGTCTCTTGGATGCTAAATTAGTTTTTTGTGCCTACTATTCTTTTAGCATTGTGACCATGACAAATTTGAGAATGTTTACAGGCCTTCAGTTTTGTATATATTTATTAAAAAGAGAAAAATGTACCATTTACATAATAAGAGAAGCTGTGATCAAACTATATTTAGACAAAGTTTTGCTATTTGTACACTTCCTTTGACATATAGGTTGGCAGATGAAAAAAAAAAAGAAAAAGAGAGAAACAATTTGACAGAAATTTTCCCCCGTCAACTTATCTGGAAAACTGATTGTACATGTAGCACATCCCTTAGACATAGAGATTTGATAAGGGAACAGGGTCAGTGACAAGGTTTCATACAAATATACATTTGGCAAAATTTCATTGGCAGTTAAAAAAAAACTAAAAGGAAAAACTATCAATCAAAAACTGTTATTTCAGCACCTGGAAATAGCTATTGTCATTGACTTTGTACAACTATTTTAATCCTTAGACATTTATAGTCAAATATCAAATTGGTTGTGCTTTATGTTCATAATGATTTACATAATGCATATGATGTTGTGCGATATAATTGGGTCAAAATTTCTCAAAAAAAAAAAAAAAACTTTCTCATTTTATTTGACATTATGTAACTCCATTACGTACAAGTGGCATTATTCATATCAAATGAAGGACTTATTCATATCAAATGAAGGGTTGTCCAAGGGAACGATTACACTTCCTTTCCTCTCCATTTTGTCTTCTTTCCCCTTCTCATTTCTTTTACCTTCATCCGTGATTTTATCTGCTTGAAGCCTGAAGTTAGGGTATTCCGACTTCTGAGAGTGTTTTTAGGTGCACTTATGCATGGAATACCAGCCATTGCAAATCTCCACAATGCAGTGACATGATCGGGTAATGCACACTCTATTCCGGCTCTTGGACCAACAAGGGATCCATCCAAGAGTTCCAAACCACCTAAGACAATCTCTTTCAGTCAATCAGAATTCTTTATAAATATTATTACAGAAAAAAAAAAAAAGAGCTGGCACCTTAGAGAACTGAGTAACGCTCTTTCGGTAAAGTGGATAAATCACATTTTTTTACGTAGGACATATGTTTGGGAGTATACGGTGAGGAAAGAAGACTCTCCGCTGTTTAAAAGGTTGCTAGAAATAGGGATGGCAATGGGGCGCCCCCCGCTCCGCTAAGAAATTCCCCGCCCCGTTACCCGTATAAGGCAAGGCGGGGCGGGGTAGGTAATTTCCCCGTTAAATTTTTATATAATTTATTTTTATTGCCTATATTCATTAGATTTAGACAAATAATTTTAATTGCTATTTTCTATTAGAAAATGCCAAAGGCATTTGTCGAATGTTTTCTTGCAAAATAAAACAATAATGTATTAATGCAAAGGATATGAACAAAGCTCGTACTTTTTTGGATTTAGTGCCTCCTAGTGAATTTAAATATCAATTTTAGATAAGATTAATGCTATCTATCACTAGTGGTGGTTCAACCATTACTTGAAGGGCATCTTTGGTACGTCTTAATGGACTATAATGAACACGGACTTAGCTTCTCTTTCTTCTCCAATCTTCTCGATCAAACATGCTAGAAATGTACACACACATACATGTATTTGCATTATGTGACTTACAGGATTGAGGATGTGATGTTCTTCGAAGCTTTCTTCAAGAAAAGCAGACTGTTTTTGGGAAAGTTTTTTCTTTTCCCGGATTATGCCAATCTTCCTCATCACTTGCCCTTGTAGAACCTCGTCTATCTGCATCACCTTCATCCATTGTTGCTTCAACATCTCCTTTCCCCCTTTTACTTCTATAAATTGTATTAGAGAATTAAAAAATTATTAAGACTAAACTTCAACTGCATATTTCGGACTGTACTAAACAGTATTAAACAAATAAAGAAAGAAAGAAGTTAAAATCTTGTCCGTGCAAAGTTCAATTCTGCTTCATTTTCTATGGTTTCTTTGTTTCTGCTTTCACCTTCAGCAGGGTTGAACTTCCCTAAAGCCATGTAGAACCCGAAATGCTTTGTAAAAATTTGAGAAATTTGAGAGAAAAAGAGAAGAAAAGGAGTTTTGTAAAAAATGACTATAGCCTATTTCCAGAGCCACAAATGATGAGAATATTATTTATACCTTTGATTATGCTACTAATAAATTTTTGAACAATGCTATTCATTATCATGGCGTCAAGCAATAGTCTAGATGGCAACTGCATGTCATTTATATGTCATTAAATGATAGATCCATTTAAATGCATTGTCATAGGATTCATTTATTTGAACATATCAAATATGGTCACCTAAACTACTGATTTAGCACCAACGGTGATAGATAGCATTATTCTAATTTTTTATATGATTTTTTAGATTGGGCCCAAATAGGTCAAAACAATGTAATTGATCATCTTATAAATTCTGAAAGTTTAGTAAGTTTGAATATTAATCGTCACTTACCAATATCTAATAGTAAGTGACATGGCCGGACATGAGGCGAGGCAAGTAAGGCCCTAGCCTCATGCGCAACATCAAAGGAGGCCATAGATATTGGTAATTAGCTCATTTAACAGGTCCATCGGAGTCAGACAGCTGCGGCATCCACCCTAGGCTGCGCCACTTAAAGGCCCTAAACCACCTCCTTGAGTACCTGATTTCTCTCAGTCGTGAGAAGGCTCAAGACTATGATACTTTTTTTTAACGTATGTTTACAATTTCTTTTTTTTTTAAAAATATAAGAATGTGTTTTCATTATTGTTTCCATTATGGAATATTAATCCTGATCTATGGTTATGCAATTTTAACAAAAAATTAACTTTTGAATCTAAAAGAAAGGGAAGCAAAAAAAGAGGGGGTGTGGTTTGTCACATGAATTGACATTTTTTTAACAAAAAAGTAGAGCAAGTGGAGAAAGAGTAAAAATTCTGAAGTATTTCTTACTTTCCATCTTGTTCCATGAACTATATATAAAAAGCAAAAAGTGAAATTTATGCAAAGAATAATGTGAATTGAGTTATTCATGAATAATTTTGTGAGGGTAGTTGTAGTTCTAAATAGTAATAGTAATTGCTTTTACTTCATAAATAATTGCCAGAAAATATTTCCAAAGTTGAGGAGGCAAAGGGGGGAAAAAGAGACAGCAGCTTGCTCTCATCTTTACTATCACAAGAAGAAAAATTCACTTGGGTAACATAGTGTATATGCAGGTCACAAGAGAATTCATTAAACTATGAAACTAATATTCTGGTTTCAGAAGAACCTGAATGAACATGTTCGAGCACGAGCCAAGCCGCAAAAGTAAGCAGATAAACAAGAATATGTCAAGCCAATCACACCGTACACGTGCTAGTATTGAAATATTAAAGGAAAAGCACAATTTCGTAGAATTTTTATAAAACCAATATCTCAAAGGTCATATAAAGTTAATGGAAGCAAATGACTAAAATTTTCAAGGTTATTTAAGGGTGAAACTACTAAACCAGCATTGGTCAAGTCTTGAAAATTTTGATTGAATTCTAAGCAACAAAATTTAAAAGGTTTTCATATATCACTAACTGTATGTACTGAAATCAGTTCAGCCTTCTCCTCCTACGTGCACGTGAATCTCCACTATCCACATCAGAAGTTCTTGATGTGTCATTTCTTCTTCTAGTTCTGGAAGATGGAGTAAAAAGCAACGCTCTGGAATCTATTTCGATAGCATTATCAACTGTCTGACTCTCTGAGCGTATAGCAGCAGCAATGCTTGACACAGAATCCCTATCATCAACTGCTGGAGCTTGTTCTTGATTTCTTTCTATGGGATTGTTTTCCAAATATGAACCTTCAGCCAACCACCCTGCAGCTTGAATTTCGTCAGAGCTTAATCCAGATAGGAGGCTGGGCAAGGTAGCTGCTCGGTTTGAGTTTGATCTATGGCGCAGGTATGATGAAAGTCGACTTGCCCTTAACTCATTATTAGCGGGGCTGCTTTCTGTCAAGTCAACCATATCAACAAGCGGCAGCGCAGCTCTCCTTTCACTACGCATTCCTCTAAAAGTCATAAACCGGTTGAGAAATGAGTTAAATCTAACATGTGATTCACGTGGACCACTGGAATTTCGAGACTGATTCTGGACAGATTCCTGACTCAACTCAAATGTACTTCCAAGATGCTCAATCATTTCCTCCATTGGAATAATGGATGCAGTCCTCTGATTAATTTGCCTCCAGCTCTCAACCCGCGATGCTTGGGGCCTGAGAGGAATGTCATTTAGACGAGAATCCACATCATGCTCCCGTATAATATTTCCAGAGCCAAAAATTGGGGTCACATTTTTCGTTGTAACTTCTCCCTTACAAACAGGACACTCCTTGGCATATGAGTGATAATGTAACCACCGGTAAAGACAAGGCCAGCAAAACAAGTGACCACAGCAAGTTACAACAGGATCCTTAGCCAACTCCAAGCATATATTGCAATCAAAAAAGCTGCCTTCAACACCGTTATTCTTTTCACCATCCTCCTCCTTTCTCAGAGCCTCATCTTCCAAACATGCATTGCCATTCTCAAGAGTTTTAGCCACTTCGTTATTTCTTGCCTCAGCAGTCATACTACCCTCACCAGGTTGTAATCTATTTTCACCACTTAATTCGAATGCAGAATTGGGATAAGATCCCGAGCCAGGTTCAGTTGCATCGCCCCAATTTTCAAGAGGCCTCAAATTCAGATCAAAATTCACGGCAGCAGAGGTCTCATCAGCCATTATAAATTGACGCACCCTAAAATAAAAATCCTGTGTTTCTATTCTGGTTAATCTAATCTTCAACTTTCTAACTCGTAGAACTGATAAATAGTCAGACAACAAAACCCTAAATTATTAAATCAAGACATCCTACCCCAGATTTTACTGAATTGAATTAAATATCTGGGCAACCAAAAAAAACCCCCCTTTACGGGACTAACAACAATACCACAGAATCATTCAGCCCAATCTAAACATGAACTGGTGCATTAGTTCAGACTTCAGACAGAATAAAAATTTAAGGGTTCCGTTCACGAGCAACAAAGATCAAACCTTGGAGAATAGATAGGTTTTCGATTAGACGTTAGAATTCAATCTCAGGTTCAGAAAAAAGGGTTTCGGTTTCGGTTTCGGTTTCGGCTGGTGTCAGATTATTGGATATTTGACTACAATCTAGGTCTCATTCTTGGCTTGGAATTCACCTCTAATGGGCTGGATGGTCAGGCATATATATTCACATCTATTGGGATGGCCCTACTACTACAGAATCTTTAGCCTTGAAAATTTTGTTCTAAATAAAATTATTTGTAAATTTCGAGCTTTTACGAATTCTAGGGGTTGGACTTGAATTTCTAATGCTTCATCAAAAAATACTATTAAGAGTTAGTTAAACAAATTGAGATGTCACCATGATTTCGAGACAATCCGACTACTTTAGAAGTGTCGAGTATGGGTTTTTTTTTTTAACAATCGTGCTACACGTACATTAAGTTCAACATTAAGCCCCTGTTTGTCTACCATTTTTCAAAACATTGTTTTCTACAGTAATCAATCTCCACCACACATTCAAATAATAAAATATTCTACACATAAACCGATAAAGTTTTTTTCAATTTCCACCATACATTCTTCAAAAAATAATATTCATTACATCATTTTCATCCCAATAATGGTAGACAAACAGGCACTAATTTTGATATTGTTGTGAAGTAACATTTTTTATACATTGATTATCACAACACTTTAAACAATCAATTACATGAATTTTGACAGCACTTAGTGTCATCCTTAATTTACACAAAGGATGTACAACTAATTTTATCCTTCTTCTTTTTTTTTTTAATGGAAGCTCGCTTAGATTGATCCTTGTGGCCGTGTTGCCTCACGATCGAGCACAAAATGACCCATGATCCATTATTTATGTTTTTTAATTGATTGTAAATCCTTTTTTTTTTCCCTCATATCAAGCTCTCTTTGTATTTTACATTAAATTAGTTTTTAATATATTTTGATAAAAGTTGATATAATACATTGTTGAAAAGTCGAGGTTCTATAAAATATGTGGTTGAAATAATTATTGATTTTATATTAGATTAAAATCTAAATTTTAATTACTATTAAATGGGGCTTATTATTTGGGTCTCTATTATTAGTTGAAGGGCATAAAATTGCTCAATTTGTTTGGGTTTAAAATAATTCTTGAGACAGTGACAGTCCAATTAAAAACAAAAATTACAAAAAGTGTAGACACTTTAACTTGGTAAATGGAGATGCGGGGGATCGAACCCCGTGCCTCTCGCATGCAAAGCGAGCGCTCTACCATTTGAGCTACATCCCCGAGTTGTTGTTTTGTTCTAATTAATCAATATTTATTATTTCTATTTTAACTGCAGCATCTTTCCACCCAAGATAATGATGATTGTTGTAACTAAACTTTTAAAGCTTCAAACATTAGGGCCCGTTTGATAGCATAGATTTTTCATCTTTGGTAGTGTTTGATGTCCAAAATTTTTCCTGCCAATTGTGAAAGAAGTTTTCACCTCGCACCATTTTCTAGGCGTGAAGTGAAATGATGGTGGGAAAAATCAAATTCTCACTTTTTTTTTTTTGGAACAATGAAAACAAATTTCATAACCAATTGTAAAAAAAAACCTCACTTTAATAGACAATTTTCATGTAAAATAAAGTCAAACGAATACTAAATTTTGATGAAAAATGATTTTTTAGGAAATTTTATTTTATTTTTTTTACTTTTTAGCAATGGAAACAAATTTTATAACCAATTGTGGAAAAAATTATTACTTTAATGGACAATTTTCATGTAAAACAAAGCCAAACGAACACAAAAAGATCCAAAATTTTAAAATTTTTCGGGTGGAAAATTATACCAATCAAACACACTTAATTAACAATTTCCTGGAAAACAAGTTCTAGGCAATTGTTTTCTCTGGAATTCATTTTCTTTCCATCCATTTTCCACCCTTACAATCAAACAGACAGTATTTTCTCGTACTCTCTCTCACGACTCTCTCCGTCACACCTTTAACTAAAATCTTAACCCTTTTAATTCTTCAAAATTTGTCTATAATCTCTCCACAAATTACCACATATAATACAAATATTCACTTTCCAATCAAATTTCCAACTAATTAGAGCTTAAGTTTGCCTTTTTTTTGCTACCAATTTGCTCTAAGACTGGTGCAAAGTGGTTATCATTAGACCATCGCCGATCGCGTCTGTCACTGCATTTTCAACTTCACATCCACTCGTCGGACCTTCCGAAACAGTCAACTTAAGTTATTTTGTCCTTGAAATTGAAAGGTAAATCAGCAGGTTGGCAATGGTAACTTACAATTCTAGATTTTTATTTTCTTTAATCAAAATTCAATTTGATAGGGACAAATGAAAATGGGTTTGAATTACATTTAAGTTTGTTTTCATTATGTCCGATTCATATTCAGGAANAAACAAGTTCTAGACAATTATTTTCTTTGAAAATCATTTTTTTTCCACTCATTTTCCACACTTGCAATCAAACGGGCCCTACTTCAATTGAATTTTTATTTTATATATTCTTAATTCTTCACTATCATTATAGGTTATTAAGACTCAATATTGGATTTCTGCATATAGTGAAGTTTTTAATATATATGTAAATAAGAAAAAATCACCAAAAAACAAGTAAAAGAAGCAAATTCAGCCTAAAAGGTTGCTAAAATCACACAATACAAGGAATGTCCCACTTGAAATTACTAGTTTCATAACCAAAACAATATTGAACGAACAAAAAATAAACACCACATGCAAACGTATTTGATAGATATATGTTGTTGTTGCTACTCTAAAATTTAGCTTGGAGTTGAATTTAGACATATTCATTCATCCGCATTAAACAATGTATTAATGTACAATCTCATCATTTGTTTGAAATTTTTTTTGTGTTTTTTTTCAGCTAGAGTAAATGGCCTGGCATGCAAGAACCCTTCTTCAGTGGACTGCACTTAGTAACACAACCAACCCTTTTGGCACCGTTGTGACTCCAGTTACTGTGGCTCAATTAGCAAGACTCGACACTCTTGGAATCTCAATGGTTCGCATTGATATTGAACTATGGGGAAATGTCCCTCCTCACACTCACCCCCGGGCCACTGAAATCATAACAGTTCTTGAAGGAACCCTTCAAGTTGGGTTCGTCACCTCCAATCCCGACAATAACCAAATTACTAAGGTCCTTCAAAAGGGCAACGTCTTTGTTTTCCCAGTGGGACTTATTCACTTCCATCAAAATGTTGGAAAGGTAAATGTTGTGGCAATTCTTGCATTGAGCATCAAAATTCAGGAGTGATACCTATTGCAAATACAGTTTTTGGATGGAAACCAGCTATTAGCAGTGATATTCTTGCCGAGGCATTTCAAGTAGACAAGAGCATCGTGGATCAGCTCCAAGCTAAATTCTAGAGCAGCAGCAACATAAAAATCACTTAAGAATCAACAGATAGGAGGTGCTGCTTGTCTTCACAATTTGGATCTGTTTTGCAATTTATGTGGTTCTTTCTTTATTTTGTTTTTCTTGTTATTTACTTTTTATATGTAATTTGTGCTTCTGACAAAGCATCATCCTGTTCCAATTTTCAATTATGATACAACATTCCTTATCAAGAGCACACCAGGTCAATACAATACTAACTTTCTTTAAGCAAACTTGAAGGTTTCTCTCATAATAAGCATACACGCAAAGTGGTTCGTGCTCCAATGCAGGCATGGGTGGTACGCTGCACCAATCTTGTGGAGATTTTTTACTATGAATAATGTTATCTATCACCCGTTTATGTGGCATGTGATACGTTCAATTAAAATGAAATTATATGATTATTTTTAATTGAACATATTATTTAAGTCGCTAATGCTGTCACCTAAACATGTGTTAAACACCAGTAGTGTTAATTATTTCACTAAATTGTTTAAAAAAAAGACACTTGTAAAAATGATCTTCCTAAATCTTTTTCTCTATATTATATATCTCATAAATACACCATCATTATATACAATTACAATACTAACGGCTATATTCCACATGCTTACTATTCAAATCAAACACCACTGCCCCTTAACGGTCCATTTTCCACATTATAAACCAAAATCAGTCATCTTAAATTTACAAACCCAAAATTTTTGCAAGTCTTTCCCTACTTCTCTGCTTAAAGCTGTGCCAATTTTTCAGATTCTTTCACTATATAATGGAAAATACTAATCCTAATATTGCTAGAGTTCAGCGTGTAAAGAAAGCATCCTCAGATCAACTGCTGAGAAAGTTTGCCGAGGCGGGTTCTGAATCAAATCACAAGTTATCAGCTAAAAGCGAGTCAAGAATGGCAAAACGTGCAAAAAGAAGCACACCTCTTAACACTAATGTGAATGCTTCTTCGGTAGAGATAAATTCACTACTTCCTCCATCAACCTCCAGGAAATCGTTATCTTTTATTCCGAGACTAGAGATGGGTAAGGCCAAGATCAGAGCTAGGGAGCTGAAGAACAAGTCTTTCATGTGTACCATTGAGAAGGTGATTTTGATTTGATTGTGTCTACTCTGTCAGTGTGTGTGTGTGTTTATTGAGGAGTACATGCCCTAAACTTACCTTCTTGTATCAATGAGCAGACATGGCGTAAAACTATTGCAGGGGCTTCGAGGGTCTTGATGGAGAAGCATTACAACCGGCACAAGCGTCTAATTAACGATGCATATTAGGTGATGAATATTAGGTAACCTTTCCATCAGTCTCATTTCAATATTGCACTGTCATATATAGTCATAATTTTCTTGAACTCGAAATTTAAACTCATTTGCATTACAGACTGACATTCATTCATCCAGAATTTAAAAATTCACAATAAACTGATAGTATATAACAGATACATTCAACAAATAAAGAATTACTGTAAAAGCAGAAATTAGACGGTCCCTTTTATCTTAAAGTAAACTCACAACAACATTTTAAAAAGTTCAACTCTTCTTCCTACCTAGTAATGTCAATAGGAAAAAATGAATATTTGCCAGGATTATTGTTCAGATCTGAAAAAGTAGAGACTCCGGAAAGAACAAAAACAAACTGATAAGGATAAACGAATTAGAAAGCAATTCCACAAGAGTTTATATAAATTCTTCCAACTGTCTATTATTGGCAACTGTCGATTTAGAAGCATTTTCTGTGAACAATCGAAGGGCCAGACTCATCATACTCTGCTTTTGCTATCCACATCTGCACTCACAGAAACAAGAAAAGTCTCGTCAAAAATTAGTGAGGTTCCTACCCAAACCAGCCTTTAGCATTCAAATAATCAAACATTAGAAAAGTTGATCAATTAACTATGAAGTCCATGCTTGACACGCAGGACGCATCGGATACTGACATTCCATTACACGTGTCCGACACGCCTCGTGGTGAGTCCTTTTTTTTCTATATTTTTTAAATATTTACCACCCAGGGACACTCCCCAGACACACATTATGCACATATAGGGAAATTTCTGTTGTCTTTAACCCTTTGTTAGTAGAAATACGGCAATCCTAGACATTAAATAAAGCAATAGAGAGGCTGTCATGAAGCATACCTGTTGGAATGTGCTTAGGGAGGCCAAAATAGAACCTCCAATCCATACACTGTACTTCCTCTCTGGTGGAGCCACCACCTTAATCTTCATGCTGCTTGGAGCTAATGCAGTAATCTCCTTGTTCATCCTGTCAGCAATGCCTGCAAACATTGTGGAGCCACCACTAAGAACAATGTTGCCATACAAATCCTTCCTAATATCAACGTCGCACTTCATGATAGAATTATATGTAGTTTCATGTATTCCAGCAGATTCCATTCCAATCATGGATGGTTGAAACAGGACCTCCGGGCAGCGGAATCGCTCGGCACCAATAGTGATCACCTGTCCATCGGGCAGCTCATAGTTTTTCTCCACAGACGAGCTGGTCTTAGCTGTTTCTAGCTCTTGTTCATAGTCGAGAGCAATGTAAGAGAGCTTTTCTTTTATATCCCTTACAATTTCACGCTCGGCGGTTGTGGTGAAAGAGTAGCCTCGCTCTGTCAGTATCTTCATGAGGTTATCTGTGAGATCACGCCCAGCCAGATCCAGACGGAGGATTGCATGGGGGAGTGCATAACCTTCATATATGGGGACTGTATGGCTGACACCATCCCCAGAGTCGAGAACAATTCCTGGAAATAACAAAAATAAAGATCATATTTCTGCAAATAGAGATAACTTAGCAGATTTATGATGCATGCAAGTGGTTCAACATCATTTAAGTGAAGAGCAATCGTGCAAATAATATCAACGTGTTTCCTATTTGTCTTCTTAGTTTTCAGTTGAGAGGCAAACAGAAAAAACGATCATATTTGTGCCTTAAAGTGTATATATACATTTCAAATAATATTTTCAATGCAATTATTTTCTAGATGTAAGGGGTTTACTTGAGACTAGGTTGATTCACTGAACTTAGTAACTTTATGTACTTTCTCTGATGCTGAATCTATTACATGACTATCTAGTTAACCAACGATTTTATATTAGTGTTCAAAGAGAGAACATAAACTGAACTTACCAGTTGTACGACCACTGGCATAAAGGGAAAGAACTGCTTGAATGGCAACATACATGGCAGGAGTATTGAAGGTCTCAAACATGATTTGAGTCATTTTTTCTCGATTGGCCTTGGGGTTAAGGGGAGCTTCTGTCAAGAGAATCGGATGCTCTTCTGGAGCCACACGAAGTTCATTGTAGAATGTGTGATGCCAAATTTTCTCCATATCGTCCCAATTGCTCACAATTCCATGCTCGATGGGATACTTGAGAGTCAAAATACCTCTCTTGGATTGAGCTTCATCACCAACATATGCATCTTTTTGGCCCATGCCAACCATTACACCAGTGTGACGAGGGCGCCCTACAATACTCGGGAAAACAGCTCTTGGAGCATCATCTCCAGCAAACCCAGCCTAATAATTATATGATAAAATAATGATCGTGAATCAATGCACAATTCTCGTGAAAGATACACGTTTGAAGCACAGAAGTAATAAAGTCTATACAAGTACTGGATGTTTGATGGTTACCTTGACCATTCCTGTTCCATTGTCGCATACAAGAGGCTGAATATCCTCAGCTTCTGCCATCTCTTAAATGTCTTGAAAAGAGTAAAAAAATAAAATCAATTTTATGCAGAGAAGAGCTATTTCATAACCATTATTTATTTTATTTTTTGTTGCATTTGATGTAATCCCAATAAAACAGAAGAACAAAAGCCCAGTATTTCTTAGAATTTTGATCAATATACCTCTAATTTGTAAAATAAATTATCAAATTCAGCTAGTTTTGAAGAGAACCCAGATAAACGCAGATCAATAAATCATTCCATCAAACTTGCACAATCTATGGATCGAGATTCGTTAACAGCATATTGAGACGGATAACATGAAAAAACAAAACCCAAATTCCTTACACAGATCAAAAAATCATTAATGAATCAAGATTGTACCAATGAGGCTTTCTTGAAAATGGATCTCTCTTTTGTTATAGTACCCGCCCTCTTCTTCTGAAAAACGGGAAATGAAACTGTGCTGTGTTTTGATATTTCAGCTTCAAATAGATGGTTGTGAAGATCTGGGCCGTTGGATGTTATGATTTACATCAGTACTGTGTGGTCCCCATCACACCATCACATTGATGGTGAATATAGCTGGATCACTTTTGCATTCACTCTGCTGTATGGACTAATGTACCCCTCGATTCTTGCTTAATTCCCCATTCATTCTCAAGAACTTTTGGGGGAAATTCTCTAGAAACACGCTCTAATTATTTTTAGTGGTAAACTAACATGTATGAGCAAATATTTTTTTTATTGTAAAATAAAATTGATAAATGATCCACAAGGGGGACATGTTATGTACGGTAAGCGAAAACTAGAGGGCAAATTCGTCAGTCCACACCAAAAAGTTGAAAAATGACTTTATTTTGTGCAACTTTTTCTCTTTTTCCTTTAACTCAGTTGCGGGGTTAGTGGGCGTGCAATAATATAAATACGTGGACACGATGGAATTTATGTGGGCCCCATTGTCAGCTCGCCCAACAGACTAGAGATGATGTCGCAGGATTTTGTGTCCCCAAGTTCACCGGTTGATCCGGTCAGCAGTCTTCCTTTATCGCTCTGTCCTAACGTGCCATGCAGTATTGGTTGAATAAGTTTTCAAATACATTAAGCCCTGTTTGGTAGCTATTATTTATCAAAAATGATATTTTGAATAGTAAATTTAAAAAAATATATGTGATTAAGAAGTAGAAAAAAATTGAATTTACGTGCAAAATATTTTATGTTCCTCCTTTGATGCTTAAGTTTGTAACTGGATGATGATATGGGATAATTTGGTGAAGAGTGTGTACTGTATAGACTTTTTAAGTGAAAACGTTTTAATGCTTTTGTAGTATCGAGATGAGTTTTTTTATAGTTTCAGGTCCCTTCACCGTCCAAATCACTACGTAAGACTTAGGGTTAGAAATGCGTGTGAAAGATCCAAAATCAATTGAATCAAACAAGAATCAATCGACTCGATCGGTTCCTATTTCTAATATCCAAAATCAAGAATGGGTTCCAACCCAACAATTTTTTTAATTAACTGTGTTTATTTGTTGATTTGACGAATATTTTTAAATCAAACCCGAATCATTAAGTTCGATTTTAATTATGAATCCGTTCAATTTGGTTCCATTCGATTTCCCGGTTTTCGTATAATAATTTTTTAAAAATATTTACAATAACGTTACATTAATTCAATAAATGACATGTTCAATTTTCGTTTTTACAAAATAACTTAGTCCGATGTCATGATATCTTTTATGCCTCTCTTTCTTGGATTTTGCATAAATTTGACTGTTAAAATCACAGAAAAACGAAGATGGTGAGCTCACAATAATAAAGAAATGCATAGCCAAACCTCCAATTCAAATTATCCAGAATGGCAGAAACGACACTAAAGCAGAATAAAAGATTTTGGTAAAACTTAGGTCAATTTGATTAAATTGACATTGAGCTGGAAATTAGAAATAAGAAAAAACATATTTTGAGTTTTGATTAAGGGCTTGTTCGAGCCTCATTTTCTTGTGTAGAATACATTTTGAAATAATAGATTGATGAAGAATATGGTTAAAAATGAAAGATTTTTTTTTTTTTTTTATTGTGTGTAATATTATTTTATTGAAGAATGTGTGATTAAAAATGAGAAAGAAAAATGTATTTTGAAAAAAAAATGAGGATCAAAGAAAGTTTAAATTAATTAGTTAGCAAATTTATTTTAAAAATGAAAATTGAAAATAGTAAAATCACATTTTATGTTTGGATTAAATTAATTAGTTAGCAAATTTATTTTAAAAAATAAAATAATTTAACTTATTTAAAATTTAAAAAATTGGGAGATTCTATTTTTTTATTTATTTTTAGATCCGAGATCCTAACCAAATTTGATGGTTCTCAATTCTGATACGCGATATTTAGAGCTTGTTTGTGAGAGATTTTAATCTAATTAAAATTGAAAATATAATTGTTATTGGGTCCTACTGTCTAATAAAAATTAACCATAACAGCTATATTTTCAGTTTTAATCCAATTTTAATCTCTCCCAAACAAGTTCTTTAACTTAGAAAAGTTGCTCGATTCGATTAGAGTCCGATTTGATCTGTTTGACTTGGTGATTTGTCCAGACCTACTCGTACTTGGGTTTCATCTCCGGTTAATTAATCTGGTTCCGGCCCGCCTCCGCCTCCAGCCCCGCGTCCCAAAAGAACAAAAAATGGGAAAAATCAATGAAAACACGAATGAAATGGAGGAAATACAAAAATGAACAGGGGCGGCAGAGCAGCATCAATAATCAATTCTCGGACCAACTCTTTTCAGATAAGAACCTCTCTCTTCCATTCCACCCCAGTCGTAGAACGAAGAAGACGAACCAATTGGGATTATGTAAGCCACCCACCCTTTATTTTATACGTGTATGCGTGTGTTATATACATCTGCATAATGCGTATTTGTTATTAGATGGATTTAATTTCATCTGAAAATAGTCTGTACATGGTTATTATTGAAGTAAATTGGTAAAGATTTGAGCTTTTGATGAAAAAGAGACCCACCTATGATTTTGCAATGTTTTCTTGGAACTGAATTTGTGTATTAAATGGATTTTATGTAAAGTGAAATGGGCTGTAGATGGTTATCATTAGCGTAAGTTTTGAAAGACTTGAGCTTTTTATTGAAACCATCCATGTTATTTGCAATGTCTCTTGAAACTGAATCCCTATATATTATATTGGCGTAAATTTTTCAAAAATTGAGCTTTTTGATGAACACGAATTGAACATCTGTTAGTTGCAAAAATTTTTGGTATAATTTGTTTTTCATGGTATACATAAATGAGCTGTTGATGGTTATTATGAATATGTTTGTGGAGATTTGAGCTTTTTGAAGGAAACTAGTCCCACCTGTATTAATTGCAATGTTTTCTTGGAACTGAGTGAAATCTATTATTTTATTTTTTGGTTCAATTACTATACTGTGGTCCGAGGAATCACTGGGCAATGAACCACTATATCTTCATGTTCTTATTTTATGGAATTGAATCGGGTTTTGTTCCAAGTTGTATTGAAAATACATATTTCCTTTCCGAGCAAAGTGGGATTGTTGCAAAATTGAATGAACTCTATTTCTTTGTTGTGCAGAGAGGCACTTTTCAGGGTTCATCAAAGGTCTGTTTCTCTCTCTTTTGTTTTTTCTTTCTTGAAGTTATTGTTTAACCCCTCTAACAACTATTAGCCGAGTCTCATGCAGTTGCCTTATTAACCCCTGAAAAAGAAGAATTATGTTGATAACATGCATGACTAGGAATGATCTATTTTATTTGTATCCAACGATCACCATAGAGGAAATTATTTGAACTCTCCGTTGAAGTTTTGGAGTTTTCCGTGGTTGTTGAGGATAGATTGTTTGTTTGTTTGTTGAGGATAGAGTGTTCTTGATATGAAGTAATTTTTCAGAAGATGTATCCTTAGATGTCAATAGAAGTCTGAAGAGAATAAGAATTATTCATTTCATTGTGATTATAATGAAATGTAGTAAGGTTGGGGAAAAAGGATCATGGAGAACACGGAAGGAAGAGAACTATACATCGTAGTAAGATCTAAATGAAGATCATATTGGCTAATTGGGAACTTGTGTTTCTTAGTTGTTGACATTTCTTTTCAATAAAACAAAAATACAACTAAATTAAATTACCCAATCAGGAACATAAATGTGTACATGCTTGACAGGGGATTATTTTCTTATTAATGAACAATAAACCTTATGTTGCATGCAGAGATTTAACCGGTATTCCGAATGGCAGAGGAAACAGATGCTGCATGATATCAGTGATTTTGCGGAGCACCTATTTCGAGTATGTTTGTCTGATCAAAATTTTGTATTTTGTGCTCATCATTTGATTTCTTTGCTATGTAGAGATCAGGGGTGGATAATATTGTTTGGAATTTAGATTTCTTAGGTAATACTTGTAATTTTTTCTTGTTCCTCCTCTACTTTACTGCCCTCTACAATATCATGTTCACCCCTCTCCTTTAGGACTCTTAAGATGAAAAATCATGAAGAATGACACCTGTCATTCTTAGGTGGAAAGGACGGGGTGGGGGATATATTGACGATTGCATCTATTATCTGTGTTTTCCATTTATCCATTGATAATATGTTGTTGATGTTTGACAATATCATAAATGAAAGCAAAAGCGAACTTATCTCACTTTGTTTCATGTAAATAAAAAAGATTCTTCCTGGAAAAAAAAAATTAAAAAAAATAATAATAAGACTAGCTAAAGGAGAAATAGAAGAGTTAAAGGATATTGATTAACTTTCTTTTGGGTTCCCCGATCACTTTGTATAAGTCTATGCATCAACCGCTGGGTGTTTGTTAGCTTATGCAAGTGGATATGATGTTGATAATGAACTTACAATTTTACCCCAATATTTGGCTTCCTCAACTCCACTGACAGAATGTCAATTGGTTTCCTTATGAAATTTTTGTAGGTAAAGCTTTTGGTACCCTTTCTATATGATCATGGGTATTGTTGTTGAGCTACTTCTAACCATTCTGACTTTTAGGGTCTAATTTCTTATAACCTTTTTGAATATTGTAGGGGTGGCAGTCCAACACTGACGAGTACCACTACCATCAATCTTCAAGCCAAGGCAATTCATGGTTCAGACCACATTTTGGGGATGACGGATACAGAAGGGGCAAGTCAGGAAATAGAAGATCTGGGACATGGAGAAGTAAGTTGGCTGGTTGTTATATAATTAAACACCAATCTGTGTGTTATTAATTCTCATTTTCTCTTTCATATGTTATAGATATCCATAAAGGTATATTTGTAAAGCTTCTATTGATATTTTCAAATATGTTGAATAATGACAGAACATGTACTTGAAAACAAAGGAAATATGATATTTCATACGTGACAAGATTTAAAGCAAATTATATTGAGTTTATACTTGATTTAATTATAGTAAGCTGTTGGAATTTATCATTTACCTTTTCAAATTTGAGGATATTTTTGTCATTTAATCCTTTTCGTTTCTCCTCTTCCGACGGTTTTCGAGAGTAGTTTATGCAATGGACCAAGCTGGTAAATATTACTCATCTGATAACTAGATTACTGGTGCATATAATTCTCTTTTCTCGGACATTTTGAACACGTTTACAGTCTCTTTAGTCCCTGTGATCTATTTTCTGCATTTGATGTAGTTAATAAATTTCATCTTTTTTCAACAGATTTTGATTTCTGTGAAGATAATGATAGGGAATATGAGACTATTTTTCGTTCGGCATTCTGTGGAAATCCGTACTTTGGTTGGTCCTTCCTAACTGATGATGACCCAAGATATTGGAAGAAATCATCAGGTTACTCTAATAAATATAGGACTTCAAATAGTTGGAGATATCAACATGAGGAGGAATATGATTCAGAATATGACGAGGACTTCGATTCAAATTCCTCGTCAGAGTTTGAGAAGTCAGAGGTTGATATGATGTCTCAGAGACTGGCCTTGGGGTTGAGTGCATCAGGCCCTTTAAATCTCGAAGATGTAAAAAATGCGTAAGATCTCTACAGTTTTCCTTATTTTAAATATCTGTTCACTTGGGGGTTGAGGGGACAGAGTTTTCATTAATTTTATTAGGCTGACAAATGATAATTTTCATTTCCAGATATCGAGCATGTGCATTAAAATGGCATCCAGATCGCCACCAGGGTTCTTCCAAGGTACTTCCTTTTGTTTCCCCTTTTTCAGCACCGAGGACCTGAGGTTTATCGTGTCCTATCCCATATTTTCTTAGGCTTCTTTTTATGAGCATGCCTTCGATTTTCCTATTTAGAATTTCTTGTGGTTAGAAAGTTCGGAACTAATAGCGTAGTACTCAGAAAAAAGGTTTTCTCAACATTTGGTCAAGCGAGATTAGCAACTTGCTTGACAATTTCAGCAACAAGCTTCTTTCTTTAAAGTTATTCTAGTGACTCGAGGCCTAATGCTAGCCTCAGTTTCTCATAGGGTCAAGCTTATAAATTGTACATTCACGAATATGATGTTTTTCACGTGCAACCTCTATTCGTTGCGATAACAAGATGCTGCCTTGGACAGGTTGTTGCTGAAGAGAAATTTAAGGTTTGCAGTGCAGCATATCAATCTTTATGCGACAAGTTGGCTCTAAGTTAGAACACGCTGATGTAATCACAGTATCTGGTGAATATCTTTTAGTACTTGTTAGATTATACGTCTACCATTCACTCTATCCTTTAGTTGCAACAAGAAAGCTACTTCATGTTGCTATGTAGAGTATGTACTATTACTAGTTTTATTTGTTTTCAAGATCGATAGTTATGGTAGTTTGTAGTTGTGCAGTCTTTTTAGCACTGTGTCTCTCGACTAGAGAAGAGAGCAGACGTGCAATAAATTAGACAGGCTGACAAAATATTACACATAGTCGACTCTAAATATTACTATTACGTGAATGTGGTTAAAAATGAGTGATAAAAAATGAATTTAAAAATAATGATCGTCAAACAGGGCTTAAATGTATTAAATGTATGTGACAATTTATTTTTTTATGTTTGATCAAACAACAAAACTTACTTTCTTGTCCCCGTCTCGAAATGAATGTCTTGGTTTGATCACAAGTCTATCCAACTCTTTTCAAAGAGACAATTGATATTAGGATAATTGACATAGACATAAAACGTTCTTATCCATTCTATTTCTCGCAAATCATCTATATCCTTTCAATATGGCACATTTAATCCTCAGATTAAATAAACGTTGTGCGAATTGTTCTACCATTCATTTTTTTTCCTAAAGTTTTGTAAAATGACGAATTTATTCATCTCTTTAAATAAAAAATAATAATAAAAAAAAATATCTTAATATTTGAGAGTTCAAATTTAATATCTTAAATATCAAAATTTAACAGTTTAAATTTCAAATAAAGAAAATGGAGTTCTAATATCTTAAATATCCTAATATTCTTTTTAATAGTTTAAAGTTTTAAAATTTCTTTTAATTTCTAGCCGCCGGTTATGGACCCAATTTTCACCTCATTCTGGCCATCAAAACCACCGGATATCACTACCAACTTAATCTCTTCAACATCCTCTACAATTTCCACCCAAGAACTCCCCATTTCATCCACTTATACGTCCGAAATCATGCATCAAAATCAGCAAATCGAAATTTCGCAACTTGATGGAAATCTCTCCTCCGGCCAGCGTCATGGTCGCAGACCACCACGAACTGTCTGCCCAGGTCCACGAGACACAGAATATGGCCCCAATTCAACACACCATCAAACTGAATTAATTCATGAAACAACGCCAGTCGCGAGCTCTTCTCTGCGCTCCGAAGAACTCTAATTCTGGCGCCGTCCAGCCAACCTAAGGTCTCGGACCATCTGGGTTGGGTTCGTCTTCATCAAGAGCAATTGACCCACTAATGGGCCGACCCAATTAAGCCCAGAACATGTTCAATTTTCTTATGAATTGTTCGCTGGTGTGAACTCGCGGGTTGCCTGTGTCGTAATTTTTGAATTTGATTTCTGGCCAAATTTGTCGAAGTTGGGGTTGGTGGTTGGGTGGGTTGTGAAGAGAGCAATGAGGGCTTTAAGGTGGTATGTTGGTCCGGCGGCAAGGTGATCAGAGGTTGAGGCCTTCAAAGGTGGTGGCTTAGGGGATGATGATTTTTTCATGTTTGTATGTATTTTTCTTTTCTTTTCTTTTCTTTTTATTTTATTTTATTAGAAGGGTAAAATGGTCAAAAAATGGGAAAAATGAAGTTTTGTGCCAAAAAATGTGAAAGGTAAGAACGTTCTGCGCCAAGAAACGAAACGTAGGGACTTTTTGCACAAAATCCGTCAAAAATAGGTACGTTTTACGCCAATTACCATTTTGTCAAACTATTATGATTTTTTCATAATATAACTAACTATACTCAAGATAGTGCCTAAAAGTCTCCCATAATCTGACTCGACAACACGCCAGTAATCCCATCTGATCTTCAGTTGGCCCATGTCTTTCAATTCTTAGTCAGTTGTCTCTGTTGGTTTTAAATTTTCACCTTGAATTATTTCCATACATGTTTATTAATATCTACCTAAAATAACTTGAAAAAGGTAGCAATCAATTTTCAATCAGCAGTGAATAGTGATAATGCTAAAAGCTATACAGATTCTTGGTCCATCTTCATCTGGGTTTGTTTCTCTTTCCTACAGATTGAAGAGGAAGCCACAAGCAAATTGTGACCTCTATTTCTTATCGAGAAAGCCCATAAAAGCATCAAATTTATCGTCATCAAGATCAAAAACACCTTCTTTTGCTTTTCGGGTTCGCAAAGGTCGCGCCTTTATAGCTCCACAGATGTCCCACATTCATTCCGAGGCAAACCCATATGGTGCTTCATCTTCTTCATCGCCTTCTTCCTCTACATCCGCATTAGTTCAATCAACTGTGAGAATTTTTTTCTTGGTAATTTATGGTTTTGGTTTCTTGATTTGCGTTAGCATACTCGTCTTTTGGATGGATAATTCTCAATTTGTGGTTTAGGGGCTGTGTATTGAAATGGGTGATACAAGGGATAAAATCTCAAATAAAGATGAAAACATAAATCAATTTATAAGAATTTGAGTTATTACTCTTAATAACGTTTTTTAACATGGACCTCAAGTCTTCACATGATACGAGAGTCAATTAAGCTCAAACGAACAATTCAATCTGATTAGGACTCTAAAATGAGCACACGGATTTCAAAATTAGTTTGCTCAAATGAGCCACCATCTTGCGGGTGTATATAGAGGGATAAAATATCACGTCGAATAAAGATGAAAACCTAGACAATTTATAAGAATTTGGACTATTTCTCTTAATAGGGTTGACATTTTTAAGATGGAACTACAAGTCTTAACAATGTCGTTCCTCGTAATTTTATGATTAGATTCTTGGTTCCTTGTTGTTTCTATGAATTCCTAAGAGTGCTACTTTACGAATTTATTTGGTTTCTTGAATATAATTAGTTGAATTTTCATTTTTCTCTTCGAGCTATGTTTAGCGCTAGTTTCTGCATCAATCTGCGGCAAGGAAATAGAGTATTTTCTAATTTGTGATTTTTTCTCACATCTGGGAATGTTATCTTTGTTTGGCTCAAATTAACTGGCTTTTGATTTTCCCCCACATTCATGGTAGGATATTCTGTGGAATTCAGAATTATAGTACAGAACAACTTATTAGGCAAAGAAATGAGGGTAATATTCTTGTAGAAAGATATATTGACATAAAATGAGTATACTCTCTCCGTCCCATAAAGATAGACTTTCCTTTGTTGTTTGTCCTAAATCATAGGCTATTCTCCTTGCTGAAAGTATAATTAATGTCTTAAATTTCTAATATACCCTGTGTAATGTGCATTGTTATCAACAAATATGAACTACCTATATTCAATGTAGGATATAGTAGAAAAAATGTAAGCAAAAATTATAGTACCAACATATATTAATTAAGTTTTCTTAATTTGTGTGAAAATAGAAACAAACCTATATGGAGGGAGTACTTCCTAATGCTAGCTTGTTATATTGAAAGCGAGAATATATTCTTTAGATGAATACATCTTAATGGAATATCAAGGACCATGGAACAAGTCATGAAAAAAAAAAACCCTGCTGCCATGACTAATTGAATCTAGCAGGAGAAGGAAGACACGTGAGGCAGGTTCCAACAGGGATAGAGACTATTGTTTCGGCATCAACTTAAGTGTTCCTTTGATTGGAAGTCTTTGAAATACATATTGTGCTGACTCATACTAGTTATGGCTTCGACATATGACATTGCGGTAGACCATCTTTATGCTATTGGTGTGGCATTTCTTGTTAGATTTGTATGAGGGGATACTAGACACCTGCAACCATTCAGCCGTACATGCTGGGTCTGTGGGAGCTATATCGTCTCATTAAGCAATAAGATTTATTTGTGTATGTGGATTGTGGAGGGCTATGGCTTCTATTTCAGTAATGTTTTTACCAAAAGGCCAATATGGATGTTTGGAGTGAACTATGATGAGCCTATCAGTGCTCCTACTAGGATAAGTTTGAGCTGAAATATGTTCGGGTTGCTTATACTCAAGAGAATACTTGTTTTTTGACCTTTGAATGATATTGTCATTTCAAGTGATCTCCCTCTTTTGTCTAAAATAACAGATGGTTAAAACATAAATAAGGATGTTCTCAACATGAACTGAGTGGATCTATTGTTTCCATAAGCAATTGCTCACCAACCTTGTTTCTTAATATCAAGCATGTTGTATGCTTTTCAAATGGCACGATCTCTTACGCATGATGAATGAATATTTCTTTGCTGTGGCTGTTGTTGTGTCTTGTAATATGAATTTTACAGTTGGTTGCATTAGTAGAAATGTAGGTTATTTTAGATTGAGAGTGATACAGATCGAAAATATGTAAATATTAAACAGTGCTGACTGCAGTATCTATTGTTACAAGTGTATTCCTTGTCTTATTTTATTTTATTTTTCAACTTTCCTCCTAGCTTTGTATATGAACCTATTTGTAACAATGTGCGGTGTGGGTTGTGTTCTACCTTTTATCATCATTTACACTGTTTCTTTTCTCTTTTAATTCTTACTAGCGTCTAACAATCTGCAGGGCAGTATTCGTAAGATCAATTTCTGCCAGTCGTGTGGTGGCCAAACAAAGCATGAGATACCTGATGGGGAGGAGAAGACAAGGGCTATTTGCACATCATGTGGAAAAATTACTTATGAGAACCCGAAAATGGTATGATTTTCTAATGATAGTTGAAAATCCATTGGGGAATTACATGCATATTGTTATGAGCCAACTGCTTTGTCACATTGTGTTGCCATAGTTGCTTTTTTAACTTTTGTAAAAAAAAATTTGCATTCATCATAGCAGTTCCATGGCAAAGAAATGCCTGGAGTACAAAAATCAGATACTAAAGTATCAAAGATTGTTGCAGACAGGTCACAAGAAATAATGAACTTGTGCTCTCTTCATTCGCTCCTTTTTAGAAGAACTTCGACCTCTTAGTGCTAATGGGTAATGGCTGATTTAGATGAATTTATCTGGGTATAATAAATAAGCATGTGGTCGAGTGGACATAAATGAAGATGTATTAACAAACAGTGGGAAAAAGGATAAACTGGTATATATTCATAGATCCATATGAATAATATCCAACAAAAGAGAAATATAACATGACTCTAAAAGTATTATCCTACATTTGTTTCTAGTAGATTTCCAAATTCCTAAAATGCATCCTAGTATCCTATTGGCATGACAGCAGTTCCATGGTTTGATTGTAGATAAATTAAAAAAAAAAAAAACCATAATTTTATCTCATTCACAATATCTGGAACTTTAAATTCAAAGAGTCATTTGAGTAAGATAACGCAATTCTTATTCTGATATAAGAGATTACTGAAAGGCTTTGTATATTATAGTTGGAATGTTAATAATTAGGTCTAGTATACTATGTGCTTGTTTGGGAGGAATTTTTGGGGGAAGAATTGATTTTGAATAGTGATATGATGGAAAATGTGTGGTTGAAAAAGAAGAAAAAATTCTTGATGTGATGGAAAATATTATTTTATTGAAGAATGTGTGGTTGAAAATGATAATTGATTTAGAAGAATTTTGAGAATCCCCACCAAACAGGGCCTATATTTGTTCAAAACCATATAAAAGAAATGTTTTCTCCCGGTTACAGATTATAATGATGTCATTTATTAATATTAGCTTCATAATTAAAGGCAAAGCATTTTTACTTGACATTGATGATGCTAGTTGTTACAATGTTGGTGAACAGGTTGTGGGCTGCCTCATTGAGCATGAAAACAAGATACTGTTGTGCAAGCGGAAGATTCATCCATCATTTGGCCTTTGGTATGCATTTGCTCGATCCAATTTCACCTGGAAAGGGATAACTTTTCACGCTATCAATCCATAGTTAGAACTTTAGTTTATTCATTATATTTCTAATTCTATGTAGTTCTGCATTCAACATTGTTGTAATTTGTTCTCTACTCGGCTGTTCTGTAGGACACTTCCTGCTGGTTACATGGAGATTGGGGAGTCCGCTGCCGAAGGAGCAATTAGGGAAACCTGGGAGGAGGCAAATGCAGAAGTAGAAGTTTTATCACCATTTGCTCATTTGGACATTCCTCTTATAGGCCAAGTAAGGAGAAATATCAAAACACTAATTTCACATGGATTTTCCTGCTCTTGGCAACTTCATGTGCTACATTGTCTCGTGTGAAACAGACATACATTATTTTCTTGGCTAAGTTCAAGAGACCCCACTTTTCGCCTGGTCCAGAATCATCAGAATGCCAGCTTTTTGCGCTTAATGATATTCCTTTTGATTCTTTGGCATTTTCATCAATGCTAGTCACATTACAACTGGTAGGATTCTATTTCAAATGCCAAGTCGATCATATCAGTTCATTTACTGAATTTTTGCTCACTTCTGTCGTGATGTCTTCTTTGTTTCTGTAGTACATTGAAGATACAAAAGTTGGAAGACCCATGTTTCACTATGGCATCATTAATAAAAGGTAATATCAATAAACTGATGTACTCAATGAATATTATGAATGAACTTCGGTGAGTTTCTTTGAAGAGAGAGTTGAGCATTCAGATCTGTTAGGCACGCTTTTCTCAAGAGAGTCAAAACATGTTTACGAATGTAATAACTAATGAAAAAGTTCTGACATTGGATGTTAAAGGAGAATGAAATAAAGATGTGTGAAGTCTCAATTTGATGCTTATCGCCGTTATCGGAAACCTAGTTTCAAGTTTGACTGCCTAAGAAAAGGTTTGATAACAATGTTTTAGGAGGAAATGATTAAACAATACATGCCGTAATGAAGTCTTTCAACATGGAGAAATGCTAGTGGAAGAATGTTCGTTCATCCAATTTATTAACATTTTAGATGTTGGCCAGTTAAATTATATATTTGACACTGCCAGGTTATGTACACAATTATGTGAACTATATTATTGACCTTCCTTTTTCCTCTGCGATCACATTCTTGGTAAGAATTTGTTACAGGATTGTTTCCTACGGAATTTCCATGGTTTTAATTAGTGGTAAAGCATTATATATGCAATTGCTTAGACAATTGTTGTGTTACCTCACCATGTTTTGGCATTTCCTTTTTCTCCTGAAAGTTCATCAAACATACCAAAGGAATGTAAAAATCTCAACAATGGCGGAAAAATTTGGCTGCTACAAAATTCTTTATGCCACTTGCAATAGAAAGAAACAATACCATCAGAAAAATGAGTGCCAAAAATTTTATGTCCTTATTATTGACTTAAACACCCTTATCCACCTGAACATTAGAAGACATTTCAGGTAAACCACAGCCATTTCTGTCACCTACATCACTTCAGAAGTTTAAACTAAATGCTTCTCTAACTGAAATCATCCATCACCTTTCAAGCACATCAAATGTACACACGGTAGTCTAACTGCCAGAAAACTAAAGTGGCGCCGATTGTGGTGGTGGTTGGGGTGGGGCCGTGGGGGGAGGGGAGGGGAGGGGGTTCCACTGAAATTATATTAGTGGTGGTTCCGATGGCCATAAATGGAGGTGGCAGGAGGGAATATAAGAGGAAGGAGAAAGAAAGTTGTGGTGAAGAGTGACAAAGCAGCAGGTGTAATTTACACAGCGTTCGGGCCTGTGGTGCAGCGGCAACTAGGCTTGAGATAGTTTTGGTATGTGAACTACTTTTCTAACTAGTGATGAGAAACATGTTAGTATTTTACAAAGAAAGGGTTAAAAGTGTTCATTTTAGAATATTTGGCCATTTTGTGAATGAGCCCAAAATAGAGATAATCCCATTCATTAGGTAATGGAGATACATTTTATGGTGCCACTTCAACAATAATATTACAAGTGCATGTAGATTAATAAAATTTTATATTGGAGTAAAATGTGTGTAACATTAATGACCCCCCTTTGACTCTAACTTACTTTTCTTGATTTTATCTCAACTTCAATGTAAATACTTTTAAGATTGATCGAGAAATACTACACTGTCAACCATTTTCAATAGACAGTGCAGAGATCTGCTCAGCTGCATTCATGAAACTTGTCACTCGCCATTGTTGAGTTTGGAAGCATGCCATTGTCTTCATGTCATTTCACAATAACCTTAATGCGTTGTTTGTTTTTGCTAGATCTGTCATGTTATGGATTAACTGTCACTAAAACTTTACCTGCACTGTAGTTGAGATCGATTGAAGTTTCTGTAATATTTTGTTCAGAATTCATACAATTTCTTATTCTGAAAAGTAAAGAATGTTTATCACGTTCTTAATGGCATGTTCGATAAGGTAGATTACAGCTATATAGTATTAAAGAAGAAAAAATAAGCTAAAAAATTGACATCTTACATATTATTCATATTTCCTGGTGGTTTTCAACAGGCCCGGTACAAGCCCTTCTGAGATTCATGCCTATACTCTTGATCATCATCTGAAATCTTGACATTTGAAGGACGATGCTGTCCCGTTGTACAAGGAAATGGTACATAATTTAGAGTGAGTTTATCAAAGATCCAAGATCAAACCGTCCTTACTCTTTTACCTGTTTGTTCAAATTTGCTCCTCTGGTGCAATCAAATAAAGTTTCACTTCATTTATCTTCGTGTAACTTTTGTGATTAAACTTGTACTGTAATTTCATTCTTCTGGTAATGAAAGAGAATCTGAGCTCTTTGTGCTTGAAAGTACTACTCACATTTATCAATTATCATTACAGTCACACGGCACACCAAAGAGAGTTCCGCAAGGCCAGGTGCATTATTTTCCTCCACAGGGCTAAAAATTTGACATTGGAGAAGTAACTATCAGTTTAAGGTTGAGAGAGCAAACAAGAACACCAATTATAAAGTGTAAAATGCAAATTCCTGCAAATAGAAGCTTGTAACAGAGTAGCACTTCCTATATCATCAATAACCTTTAACATTCTTAGTAATTGTATGCACTTTACCCAACTTTTAAGTCAGAATCCATGTTTTCAATTTTGTTGTGCAAGGAGTTGGTATTCACAATTTCAATACGCAGTCGCAATGGCAGTGGCAGAGCCAAGTGCGGGCTAGTGGAGTCATAGGCCTAGAGATGGCAATGGGCCACGCTTCGGCTCGCAAGCTCGTCAATTTTTATTTTTTTCAAAGATAAGCCTTTTAAAAAAAAATAAAAAAATTTAACCCTCCGCCTTGGACGAGTGCACGAGCCACCTGCCCGTAGGCAAGCCAAGGGGCCCGACCTGCCTAGCCGGCCAACCTGCTCAGCTCGTGCTCGTCATTTGACGAGCCCGAGCCGCCCACGAGCCTACTTTTCACAAGCAAGTTGTTCGGCCCATTTGCCACAACTACCTAGGCCCCGGTAAAATTTGGAAAAAAGTTTTTTTTATGACTTTTTATATTATTTTTTTAGTTTTTATTTTTAATATTATGAGATTTATGTTTTAAAAAAATTTACAGATTAATTAGGTCATCACGGATTTGAGTCCTCGCTATGTCAATATGTAGAGGAGTGTGAAAGAATCAAAACCAATTGAACCAAATTAGAACCAATCGATTCAGTACTACTTATATTTTAAACTGTTTTGTTTTTGTTCATATTCTAATACCCAGAACCGAGAAGTAAGAATCGAATATGGTACTTCTTGTTTGAGTTGAATGAGGTTTGTTCATTTGTTTTTAGACGTGAGTGTTAACTGTTTTTTTATAATAAAACTTCGTACCTAACTCACGTTAAAAATTTAGAATTTGATTATGGAATTGACCAAACGAAACTAGAACCATAATAATTTATAAATTAGATTTGTTTCCATAAATATTTATGGACGATTTCATTATAAGATAATCAATGATTCTCGATTTGATTGGTTCAAACCACGCACTGACGCACATCCTTATAACTACTGATAATTTTCATTTATCGTAACTGAATATTTAGAAAAAACTCAATCCAGTGAATAAATTTTTTTGTAATAATACAACTTGACTGACGTTGATAACTTATTCTTTGGAAGAATTTGTACAACTTTTTACGAGGACTAAATGAATGGTGTTTGGGGGTGGTATCAATGCATCCTTATCGTGGAAAGAGTTGTTTAAAGCTGACTTCTTAAATTATGCCATTGTCGTGACCCATATCCAATACTATGTGTCGATGAAGTCTTCTTCTTCTCGGTCCACTTTGTCTCCTGATCTTGGGTTCACTGTTCTTGGTCGTCTCAAACTTGGCTTCTTCTTGAAGTCCTTGCCTTTTGCCCTGGTCTTGACTCCCCTCGCTAAATACTTTCAATCTAGAAGTCTAACTGCATGTGTTGTTAAACACGTCAATACTAGTTTAAGATCTTACCGGAACTTTAACTAGATCAAATATGTTAGAAATTAAGAACGAGATTATATGACATAATATGAATTAAAAATTACAACACATAAGAACACAAGAAATTTAGCAGAGAAAATGAGAATTCATTATAATATGGGCAAAAAAAATACAAAGATAGTGTTTACAAGATTGTCTAACTTTTTTATTTTGTAAAGAAGAGCCAAAATTATATATAGGATACATGTAAAAAAACCCAATAATAGACCTAAAGATGGAAATAATATCAAAAATTGCATCAAAACTCGAAACAGATCGTGTGAGTTGGATGCAACCGTAGCTCGAGCGCCGCCCTAGAGGGAAGCGAGCAGCGGAGGAGCCACTCGAGGCATGCTCGAACGGGAGCTTGACCAGCAGTTAGCGAAAATGTAGCTAAATTACTTCTTGGTCCATATTTTGACCTCTTTAAGACCCACTTCAACTAATACACAAATACCCAATAGAATTTGGGTCAAACGTTAACAAAATATTTTGTCTTTGATGATAATTTGGCTCTCGATCGACCTTAGTAGAGTAGACTCGCTATTTGACACTGATAGTGTTTACCTCAGGCAGACAAGATGACCTTCGGCATTCTAACCATCGTATCAAATAATTCGTCAAATACTTCAAACATGTTATAATTCGTCAAATATGATAAACTTTTTGAACTTTGTTTTTCTCAGTTAGTCTCTAATGATGACTTGACTCCTCACGTCGAATTGGTATTGTCTGTTACTTGTCATGTAAGGGAACTATAAGATCATCTTAGTAACTATATTCTTGTTTTTATTGCATAGCAAAAAATATAAAAACAAAGAAATATATCGAACAAAATATTGAAATAACTACTGATAATTCATAATTTTTATTTATCGCGACTGAATATTTAGAAAAAACTCAATCCAGTGAATAATAATAATACAACTTGACTGACGTTGATAACTTATTCTTTGGAAGAATTTGTACAACTTTTTACGAGGACTAAATGAATGGTGTTTGGGGGTGGTATCAATGCATCCTTATCGTGGAAAGAGTTGTTTAAAGCTGACTTCTTAAATTATGCCATTGTCGTGACCCATATCCAATACTATGTGTGGATGAAGTCTTCTTCTTCTTCTCGGTCCACTTTGTCTCCTGATCTTGAGCTCACTGTTCTTGGTCGTCTCAAACTTGGCTTCTTCTTGAAGTCCTTGCCTTTTGCACTGGTCTTGACTCCCCTGGCTAAATACTTTCAATCTAGAAGTCTAACTGCATGTGTTGTTAAACACGTCAATACTAGTTTAAGATCTTACCGGAACTTTAACTAGATCAAATATGTTAGAAATTAAGAACGAGATTATATGACATATTATGAATTAAAAATTACAACACATAAGAACACAAGAAATTTAGCAGAGAAAATGAGAATTCATTATAATATGGGCAAAAAAAAAATACAAAGATAGTGTTTACAAGATTGTCTAACTTTTTTATGTTGTAAAGAAGAGCCAAATTATATATAGGATACATGTAAAAAACCCAATAATAGACCTAAAGATGGAAATAATATCAAAAATTGCGTCAAAACTCGAAACGGATCGTGTGAGTTGGATGCAACCGTAGCTCGAGCGCCACCCTAGAGGGAAGCGACCAGCGGAGGAGCCGCTCGAGGTATGCTCGAACGGGAGCTTGACCAGCAGTTAGCGAAAATGTAGCTAAATTACTTCTTGGTCCATATTTTGACCTCTTTAAGACCCACTTCAACTAATACCCAATGGAATTTGGGTCAAACGTTAACAAAATATTTTGTCTTTGATGATAATTTGGCTCTCAATCGACCTTAGTAGAGTAGACTCGCTATTTGACACTGATAGTGTTTACCTCAGGCAGACAAGATGACCTTCGGCATTCTAACCATTGTATCAAATAAGTTTTTTGTTTACATACTTCAAACATGTTATAATTCGTCAAATATGATAAACTTTTTGAACTTTGTTTTTGTCAGTTAGTCTCTAATGATGACTTAACTCGCGTCGAATTGGTATTGTCTATTACTTGTCATGTAAGGGAACTATAAAATCATCTTAGTAACTATATTCTTGTTTTTATTGCACAGCAAAAAATATAAAAACAAAGAAATATTGAAATAAAACATATTGCAAAGTCCGAGTGAAAGAAGGTTGAAAAATAAAAAATTGTAAACAATGCAGTTGCTTAGAAAATCCAAATGGAGTAAGGTTAGAAGGAGAATTAGTCTGATACTAAAACTCAATAAATTAATTAAAAAGAGTGAATAATTAATTCACACTACTTCATTCGAAAGTTGACTTAGGCAAGTTGGGATTCTCCATAAGACATCCACTTGAAGACCTTCCAATGGAAACTGGTTAATCTCTTGCATGAACCCCTCAAATTCTGAAAAATAACTCAAGAAACCACCTCCTGAATTTGCACCTCTCCATATTTCTTCTTCACCTTTTATTCTCTCTCTAAATCCTGATGCATTGAATCCAGTTCTCATGGCTAGTTCGGCATGGCAAAATTCTTGAATTCTCATTGCTTGGAACTTTTCTGGGTTTTTTTTCTGGTGCAGCTTGTGTTTGTGGGTTTTCCAGTGAGTCTTTGCACCAGTTCTCTGAAGTTCTCAGCATCATTCGGTGCCAATACGTGAATTATGCGAATTTTCGGCACGATGACTTTCAACGTTGTCTGTGAATCTTGTGCAGGGATAGCGTTGATGAAGTTAAGTTTGTTTTTCCATGGCCCCTTCAATCTCTTAGCGTTTCGACGTGTCTTCTCGTGGGTTTACTCAAATCAACTTCCTTTCAGTCAGTTGAAGTAGACTTTGTTATTGAAGTTCAATCTTTCTTACTTCGACTATGGATAGTGTTGACACACTAAAAGTACAGCCCAAATTAAATAGTCCAAAGAGTGAATCCCAATTGGAGAATCCAGGATAAAGGTCCAAATAGAATTATTGATGAATGCAGTGGAAGCCCACGAATACAGTAACATCATCGCCCAAGCATGTAAGACGCCCAGAATCTTAGCGAATGGAGTGTCTTACAGTCGCCCAGAGCGATGATCCCGTTCTCGCCCAAACCTTTGAATCGCCCAAAATCTTAGCAAACATAAGATATTATGGTTATTCTGAATAACAGTTATTGAAACAATTATTGAGCAATTTTAATTGTTAGCGACTACTCTCGCGAAACAGATAGCAAATGTTTCTTGTCCAAATTCGAGTCTAGCTGACAATTGCCTTGTGAAGATCGATCACTAAATATGCTCACACCGAAAGAAGGAAAATCATTGATTTTCACTCTTGATTTCTTGTAATACATGTTGGAATTATTCTATAATATGGTAATTTTAAGTATGTGGGCCGAAATTAAGTAAACCCTAATTAGGGTTAGAGTCGGTAATGGATCGATTTTATGATTTCCTATATAATGACTAGCTAGGTTCCCTCTCCTCTCCATATGTTTTTGGCTTGCCCAATTGACGGCCGATTATTTTGTGAGGAGCAATGAGAGGAAGATCTTATTAGTAATATTCATACATAACAATGTTTTTCGCAAGTATAAGTTTTGAACTATTAATTTAATTATGTGATTCTTATTCTTAGCATGATTGTATTGAATAATTACAACAATACAAATATGTTTATTTTGCTAAAGTGGATAAAATTTAAGAATAAATATTTGTTCACGGTTGGGTTAAAATATTTTGCCCGCCCTTCGATAAACTTATCTGGACCTCTAAATGAGATCGATTATAATTAATTTTTAATATTTTTTATAGAAGTTGATGAAATATGTTATTGAAAAGTTGTGAGACCCATGAAATGTGCAATTAAAATTAATTGTTAATTTTAACTTAAATTAAAATTTTAATTTTCACCAAACAGAGACTTATTTTTTTTATCACATATCTATAGAGCAAGTGATGACCGATCAAGTCTTATTAAGCCTATGTTTGGTATTGATAAAAAATCAAATTTTAATTTAAGTCAAAATCAACAATCAATTTTAATCATATATTTATGGATTCCACAATTTTTCAATTATATATTTCATCAACTTTTGTCAAAATTTACTAAAAAACTTATTTTAATCTCCATCAATAGGGGCCTAAAAGTCGTAGGACAAGTAGGCTAACATGAATTTGAATGCACACGCGTCAATTCGCGTATCTAATATAGCTCGACCAATTGGCTTAGGATTTAGTCGTTCGACTAGGGTAGCTATCTTATTCTATTATCTATCAGTATCACGAGAGTAATAGTTATCTAATTCAGCCCACGTTTGGCCTTCATTATGTCAAATTATAATTTTTAGAATAGTATTTTTTGAAAAATGTATGGTTGAGAAAAAAAGAAAATTTTTTAGTTCACGTGTAATGCTATTTTATAAAAAATTGTGTAGTTGAAAATAAAAAACACACGAATAACTGTTTGGATTAATGTGACGGCTAAAAATGAAAATTTAGCCGTTGGATTGGTAGTTGACACATGTTGGTAACGTGTCAACACCATATCAAATTTCCTGGATGACTCACCACTCTTCCCCCCTCCTTTCCACCACCATTTATACACTGCAAATTTCGTAGTAAAGGAAGAACAAGAAAAGGAGAACAAAATACTTGAAACTAGTGAAAATGCAATCTGCTAAGGAAACAGCAGCCAATGTTACAGCTTCAGCAAAGTCTGGCTTGGAAAAGACCAAAGCCACCGCGCAAGAAAAGGTTTGTGGTTGAGGTTAAAAATAACTTTTTAAGTTACTTTTATTCATAAGCATGTTTCAGAGTTGTTTTCTTTCATGTAACAGGCTGGGAAGATGACCACTCGTGACCCTGTGCAAAAGGAGATAGCCACAGAGAAGAAAGAGGCCAAAATCCAGGAAGCCGAGCGCCAGAAGCATGAAATGAGAGAGGCAGCTAAAGCAGGCAGAACAACCGGTCATGGTTACACCGCTGGCGGCACCACCGGCCACTCAACTGGTATCCACGACGCAACTGGGTACCCCACCACCGCCACCGACTATACAGATATTGCTAGGACAGATTACCCATCTGGAACTACTACTCAGGGTGTGATTGGGTCCCAATACCCTCCTGGGACAAACACTGGAGGGGGTGGGAGGGTTGGAGTTCAAGACCCTAATGCTCCCAGAGGTACCGGGGCTGGTTATCAACATCGGGATACAGATACCTATTAGGGTGTAACGATTAACTATCGATGTATGAGAATAGGGGTTGTGAGACATAAATAAAGTTAGGCGTGTGGTTTGTGCTTTGGTTTCCACAGTCTGGTGTCTGTAGTGGACATTTTACTTCTGTACTAGGTTTTTTGTCTTTGCTTTTTAGGGACAGTTGATGCTTTCACGTCCAACGTATATGAAATAAGGTGGTTTACATTGAACATCTGATATTTTTTCTTGAAAGCTAATGCATCCTTTATTTAGCACGGATGATTTAACACGACATAGGCATGATTGTACAAACTATGCTTCTGTAGAAATCAATAATTGTCATGTTTTCTGAATTTGGATTTCAGGATTTCTGTAGGATTTGTAGCTAGCTAACTTTTAAGGTACGACACCATGAATCCTCTCTATTGTTATCAATTTAACAATTAGCTTTTAAGGTCGACACAACATCTCATGCTTACTAGAAGTAAATCCAAGTATACAGAATTGTGATTGACAAAGGACTTACCACCTCTCATGCATGAGAGGTGGGTTCCATGTGGGACCGATCTCATTAAAAAATGAACAAAAAAATTCCCACCCCCTTTGTGTCAGATCGGTGGGGGGTTCGGTAACCCCCACCTCTGTACACAAAATAGAGCCCCGTTTGCCATTTGATTGCTATCAATTCAACAATTAGCTTTTGAAGTATAGCATATCCCCTGATTGCCATTGATTGTTATCATTTCAACAATTAGTTTTTAAAGTATATCATCATGGCTCTCTATTGTTATCTAGCGGATGGTGATACGACATAGTAGCATTCGTCCGAGAATAGTTATGATCAATGGTTTTATGTACTAGTGTATGGTCAATTTGACATAGCATCGAATCAATGGAATGTAGTGATTTGTCAACGAGACTCATATATCATTAAAAGTATGAAATTTTGATGTATAATTATATAGATTTTGAAACTCCAACTTCGACAATTAATTTTTAAAATATGATTATTTTTTAGTCCCTTTCTGGAGAGGGATACAAAATGTAATTTAAATCTCTCATAAAGCAAATGTCTTAAATTCATGAAAAATGCAATAAAAATCCATGATGAATAAGATTGGCAAATACTTTCACAAAATGGATAGTACATATGAATTAACAGCTTAATGCCCAAGTTGTTACAATAATTTTTCACCTGTGTAAAACCTCAAAAATGCAAAAGCTAATGTCCTCAAAAATAAAAATAACTGCAAGACATCCTCACTGCTATCCTCTCAGGTTGCGGTAAAACCCCTAAACTTGCTTCCCTACATAAGTTGTATGGACAGACTTAAACATACACGTCCATAGTCGCTAAAGATCTAATAAAGTTAAAACATACATGTCCATTTAGTCGCTAAAGATCTAATAAAGTTAAAACATACATGTCCATTTAGTCTCTAGAAAGAACAAATAAAGTTCAAAGCAAGAGAAAAATAAACTAACTTATATACATTCATAACAAGGCAGCTCTCAGTTTTAAGTTATTTGTCAACAAAAGAGCTATTTGCCACGCAAAAATTTTCACAAAATGTACAAAAGTAGAGTACGACTAGCATTTCATGAAAGATATATGAAACCTTTTCACGGAAGTTTTCTCTTTCCCTTACGGATTGCCGCCACCCCAGTTAAATCTCCATTTTGAGGAGAGTCTTCAACTACTATGTGCTCCTGCATAACCAAACCTCGGTTCCTGCACAATTTTCTTATCGGGGTAGTAGGCAATGATGCTTGATCTTCTTCAGACTCTGTAGACGGTTTAGTACTTCTTGATGTGTTCATCGCTTTCCTGTGTGGCATTAATTCCTCTCCAACAGCAACAGAGGACAGCATCAACTGATATAACAGCAACAAGAATTTATAAGATAGTGAAATAGAAATTATAACATTCAAGTTCCTATTATATTCAGTCCATAAGTAAAAAGGAATATCAAAGATCATATTTCAAATGCTGATACACAACAATATTTACAGCAGTATGGAAACACAACTGGATGGATGACCTCAAAACGAAGAGACTGCTTAATCAAAATTCCCGGAATTCCAGAGTAACAGAATAAATAACTAGTACGTCTACTACTTTTTAATGTACCTTCCAGTCTCTAAAGTCAAATCTGAATATAAAATGGCTGTAAGAAACATCTCCAGCTTGAACTGCATTGGCGCCAGGAGCATTCTTTGGAGCTGAAAGAAATAATAACTAAAAGTTAAAAAGGAAACAGATGCCAGAAAGAAAAGACGAAACTAAATGAATTCTGCACAAAGAAACTTACCAACTAGATGACTGCCTTTTTCATCAACTTTTATTTCAGCCCTTCCATCTTTTACTAGAAAGGATAGAGCAAATAAGTTTTCCACGGTCTGTGCAAAGGAGTTCCTGTTTAATATTAAATTCTCAAGATGTACTATCCTATTCTTCCTTAGGATATCAAACATCGTCGCCATATTTTGATCGGTGTCAGTTTTCTCCTCAGTAGCAGTTCCGTCAAGCTGCAGAATTTAAAAGAAATGAGACTAAATGGAAGCAATTAATCTCTCTCGTTTAACAGACTAAATTTGCTGGTGTAAGTAAAATTAAACTTCTAGGCAACACCTATTACTTCCCCGTCCATCTAGAACGCCACGGCTTATAGATCCAATCAAGAGAGTTGTTTCTTTAAAAAAGATAAAAGGGGGAAAAGAAGGGGGTATTGAGACCATTGCGCTCAAGAAATTAGAAGAAATGAGAATACAGACAAAAATACACCTCATGCTGTAGGTGTCAAGTTCATTTTAATACTCCGTCAATGCATATTATTTTAGAAAAATTAGATTGACATTGCATCACTGGTATCTCTGATCATCAGTATTTCTCATTTCCAATCAACCATTTCATGACCAGTAACTTAAAAGTTATGACAACAAGTTTACAAAAAAAAAGGCCAAGATATTTAACCTCTTCAGGCTGAGCTCTTTCCACTGGCTTTGAGCGCTTTCTAGGAACCACATTCTTGCGTTGCTTCATCTCAGTATTCATAGGCCCAATCCTGTCAAAAATATATGGAAGTATATGCAAATCCAATAGTTTGAGCAAAAAAAATTTGAAAATAGACCTAGGAGAAAGGATAATAGTGGTGTTTACATTGTACAACACCCATAAGCACTCCTGAAAACGTGAGAGACTGCTAGCCCAATATCTTTCCAACGTATTGAATTCCTACCCTCATCTTGGCTAGTATTTGGTCCAACTTGTTGCCCGAAATCCCTAAGCAGACAACTAACAAAATCTGAAGGGGTCACTCCTTCATTGGTATATGCTTTCACAGAGGTTACCAAGGTGTTTGTGATGTCAAATAGGGCTTCTGCATCTGCTACTTGTTCTCGTGGTTTTGTTACTGAATAGAGAATGTAAAAACATGAGTGTAAGCCAAACTTCCATGTAGACTCACAATAAAATAAATTTATTTATATGCACAAATACGGTGCGAGTTTATCAAAAAGAAAAGCAGAAAAATTCATTTTTCCTTTAAATAATTCTAAAAAAGATTCACCATTTTTCTTTATAGAATAAGGAAGAAATTCGTGATTTAATCAAGTGCAAAGTATTAGTCATACCCTATAAATATGATCATAAATTTCAAACATATTCCTATTATTCCTTTTTCGCAAGGAACATAAATCTTTGTGTGTGGAAAATGTAATGCAATTTTCAAGATCATAGCAACAATATTGGATTCTAACTGTTTGACTAGATAGCTGAGTTTTCTAGGAAACCAAATGGAACAAATATTTAAGGAAACCCAAAAATTATCCTCCATGTTCAAACAGATTCCAGTCACTCTAACATGCATTACAAACCACTAAATTTCAAATTTTGAAATTATATATCAACAAATAAGGGATTAACATTACCTAGCTGATGCAAGTTATCAACTTCTTCAATTATTGATTTGAACTTATCTGAATCAACGTTTGATATATCATCTTTCTCATCTGCATAAAAATAAATAAAATCATCAATAAGAAGATATCAATTTAAAACTTTCAATTTAACAAAATGAAACTAACTTTATCTGTTGATTTTTCAGGCTAAAAAAAATGCATAAAAAATCAAGATACACAAACTCAATTCCTATACCGAACCCATAATCCTAGTTTCACAGTTCACATTAATGATTATCACGCAAAATCCTGAAAAACGGATGAAGAATCGTGTATATTTCAAGGGCACGAGGTAAGCTTTTCTTCATTTGGCAAGCAGTGAATAAAAGTAGAATAAATGCACCGGTTTAACCATACACTTAATTTTTGCAATGAGCGATTTCATCAATCTCTTCACTTATATACAAATTAATAAAAGTAAACAAATACGAAAAAAACAGAGACGTAATGACCTTGTCCGAATATGCAAATTTTAAGGAAAAAAAAATTGAAATACAAAAACAAACTAAGATACTAAAATAAAGGGAAATCAAATTACCGCTAATCCGATTCTTAACGTTGAGGTATTTCGACCGTAGCACTCTGCGTTCGATAGTACAATCTTCGGCCATCCCAGAATCGCAATCCTCGTTGGCACCTGATGCTTCGTGTACTTCCCGTGCGTTGGTTCTGGTGCTTCTACTACTATTTCCTCGATTGTCTATTATTGGAACAACTACAAGCGAGATCGACTCAACAAGTATCAATCAACAAATTTAACAAATTATTGTTAAGGAGTTGAAAAGATCCTGAGATCTTAACTGTAATTGTTAGGCACTAATTTATCTACATTTTGAATTTTGAATTGTAAACATAATCTCGTAATTACTTAGCTTCATTGTACTATAAATATCCAATGTATTCAGTGAAATAAACATAAGGGAAAATTAAATATATTCTTCTTCATCATTTATGCTTTGAACTTTTACATGGTATCAGAGCTTTTTGACTAAAGTCTAAGCAACTCCTCTACGTTCAAAATGTCTGCCTCTCCAGATTCTTCAATTTCTGATTCCACCAACATCACTCTTCCTCTCTTCAACCCCACCACCACCATAAAAGTCACCAAATTAACACGTACAAACTATCCAATTTGGAAGGCCACCATGCTTCCCTATCTTAAGGGACAAAAAGTATTTGGCTATGTCGAAGGTACAATAAAAAAAACCTTCAAAAGAAATCACTGCAACTGATGGCACCATATCAGCCAACCCCTCATATGAAATCTGGGATACACAGGACAACCTCATACTAAGTTGTCTCAATTCATCACTCTCGGACGCACAGGTGGCTCATTGCACTTCCTCCCATGATGTTTGGACTGCTCTTGGCTTAGCATTTGCTTCCCAATCCCGTGCTAAGGCAGTGCAGGTACGCTCGCAACTAGCCACAGCTCGCAAAGGCAACCAAACTGCTACTGATTATTTCATGAATATCAAAAGGCTTACGGATGACTTGGCAATTGCTGGCCAAGCTATGAAGTGTGATGATATCATAACCTATTTACTTGCTGGTTTGGGTCCAGAGTATGACACACTTGTAGCCACAATCTCCCACCATAAAGATACCATCACGTTAGAAGAGGTGTATTCCATGTTACTCACTAGTGAGGCCCGAATCCAACACAACAATCAGTTAATTCCAAATGCCATTGCTAATGTTGCTACTCGACAACAAAACTTTTATGGCATTCGAGGTCGAGGAAATTCTTTCAATCATCGAGGCAGGGGGCGTGTCCAACCCTCCACCATTCGTGGATCAAGCAGAGGTAATTTCAATCCTACTTACCGGTCAAACAATAATTTTAACAACACTTTGTCGTGCCAACTTTGTGACAAACCAGGTCATATTGCATCCCGCTGCTTTAAACGGTATGATCTTAATTTTCTACCTCCACCACCTCGACAAAATCCTCAAGCTAATTTTGCTTCAAACCAACTACCCCAACAATCAATTGATCAAGAATGGCATCCTGACACTGGAGCTACTCACCACCTGACCAACAACTTCAACAACCTCAATGTCCGTGGAGATGAGTATGTAGGGAATGATCAAATTCAAGTTGGTGATGGCACAGGTTTGAATATAACACATACTGGCACTTCTTCCTTTGTCACCCCTTCAAAATCTTTTGTCTTAAATCAAATATTAGTTGTCCCTCAAATTAAAAAGAATTTATTATCCGTTCACAAATTTGCTGAAGATAATAATGTTTATTTTGAATTTCACGCTTCCTTTTTTCTGATCAAGGATTACTTGGGGAGCATCCTGCATAGAGGTCATCTCAAAGATGGTCTTTATTGTCTTTCTCAGCCTCTTCACTCAATCCTTCCTTCAGCTTTTGTTGGTGTTCGAGTTTCCATTTCCGATTGGCATCGTCGTCTTGGACATGCATCCTACAAAATAGTCCATCATGTGATTGTCGCGAATAAACTTCCTGTTGGATCAAATAATAAACAATCTGTTTGTCCCGATTGTGAGATGGCTAAAAGCCACAACTTACCTTTTTATGCATCTAATCATCATGTTTCTAAACCTCTTGAACTACTTTATTCTGATGTATGGGGCCCTAGTTCTGATCTTTCATGTTATGGTTCTCGCTATTATGTTTGTTTTCTTGATGATTTCACTAAATTTATTTGGATCTTCCCACTAAAATTAAAATCTGATGTTGAACAAATTTTCTTACAATTTCAAAAATATGTTGAACGCCACTTTGACACTCAAATTAAAGCTATTCAAACTGATTGGGGTGGTGAATATCGACGCTTGAATAATTATTTTAAAAATTGCGGGATTCAACATCGACTAGCATGCCCATACACACATGAACAAATGGGTTCTGTCGAACGACGTCATCGTCAAATTGTGGAAATGGGCTTAGGTTTGTTAGCTCATTCCAATCTTCCTAAACCATATTGGGAAGATGCTTTCTTGACAGCAACATATATTATTAATCGCTTACCCTCAAAAATCTTGAACGGTCGTTCTCCTTATGAAGCGGCATATAATCAAAAACCAAATTACAATTTCTTGCGTGTATTTGGATGTGCTTGTTGGCCAAACTTAAGAGCTTATAACAAACATAAAATTGATTTTAGATCCAAAACTTGTATTTTTATTGGTTATAGTCTCTCACATCAAGGTTACAAATGTTTAGATTTATCCACAGGAAAAATTTTTGTTTCGCGACACGTCATATTTAATGAGTCCTCTTTTCCTTATATGTCCACTAAACATCAAACTCCCTTATTAGAGTCTGATTTGATCTCTTTGCCCTTGTCCTTAACAACACATGCCCCAAATGTGCCAACTAACCTTGCAGGTACTGATATGTGTTCAAACCCATTACAAATTGAAGGAAATCATGACCACACAACTCCCTCTTCAGACACTTCCTCAGGTAATGATATTGTTCCAGCAAGTCATGCCATTCAACCATCAGTTATTGTTGAAGAACAACCTGCCAACCATACCTCTTTACCATCAGCTCACCCTCATCGAATGGTAACAAGGTCTCAAACTCACTCTCTCAAACCAAAGCAACCATTTGTTGGCATTATTAAGTATCCTCTACCCAAATGCTTTCTCATTGAGTCAACCTATGAAACCATAGAGCCTACATGTTATACGGAGGCTTCCAAAGATGCTAGATGGCGAGAGGCAATGGATCAAGAATTTGATGCCTTGCTTCGTAATGGCACATGGGACTTGATTCCTTTACCATCAAATTGTAACCTTGTGGGGAACAAATGGGTCTATAGAATCAAGAGAAAGGCAGATGGTCAGATTGACAGATTTAAAGCACGCCTCGTCGCCAAAGGTTACCATCAACAACAACATGTTGATTTTCATGAAACCTTCTGTCCAGTAGTCAAACCAAGTACAATCAGACTGATTTTATCAATTGCTGTCACTCATAGTTGGAGCATTCGCCAAATAGACATACAAAATGCATTTTTACATGGCTTGTTGCAGGAAAATGTCTACATGCATCAACCACAAGGCTACATTCATCCTGATTTTCCAACACATGTGTGTCGGTTGAAGAAAAGCCTATACGGTCTTCGTCAGGCACCACGGGCTTGGTTCTCTCACCTAACTGACAAATTGCAACAATATGGTTTTCTCGGTTCCAAGGCTGACAATTCTCTTTACACACTCCATCGAGGTCCCCTCCAACTATTTATCTTGATCTACGTCGATGATATCATTATCACAGGCACCAACTCAAAGGAAATAGATAATCTAATCTCAATGCTTGGTCATGAATTTCCAGTCAGAGATCTTGGCAATCTATCCTATTTTCTTGGCGTTGAGGCACTCCAGGATGGCCGAGATTTGTTATTGACCCAGAGAAAATATATTGTAGACTTGTTAACAAAGGTAAATTTGCAGCACGTCAAACCTTGCCTCACCCCAATGTCAACATCTTGTCAACTATCAAAATTTGAAGGGACTGATTTTGATAATCCTCAATTATATCGGAGCACGGTAGGGGCTTTGCACTATTTGGGTTTCACTCGTCCTGATATTGCATTTGCGGTGCATCGTGTTAGCAAGTTTATGCATCAACCAAAAGACCCTCATTGGCAAGCAGTAAAGAGGATACTCCGCTACCTAAAGCATACAATTAATTATGGAATTCGCTTCACACACAATTCAACTCATTCCTTCCATGGTTTCAGTGATGCAGACTGGGCCGGTGATAGCGATGATAGACGAAGTGTGGGAGCATATTGTATTTTTCATGGGCAGTTGAATTAGAGTACCTCGTCGTTTGAACAACAAACTGTTGCTCGCAGTAGTACTGAGTCAGAATATAAGGCTCTTTCAAACACAGCAGCAGAACTTCAATGGTTACAATCAATCTTATGTGATATTCAAATGCCATTGTCTACGTGTCCTACACTTTGGTGTGACAATATTGGAGCAACTTATCTGTCATCAAATCCAGTATTTCACGCTCGAACCAAACATATTGAAATAGACTTTCATTTTGTCCGTGATCAGGTCTTACAAAAAAGATTGAAAGTTTCATTCTTATCTACTAAAGATCAACTTGCAGATTTATTGACGAAACCGCTATCTTCAGTTCGTTTTGGTATGCTCCGTGACAACCTTCATGTGCAGGAGCTGCCCCTTCGGTTGAGGGGGCGTATTGGAACAACTACAAGCGAGATCGACTCAACAAGTATCAATCAACAAATTTAACAAATTATTGTTAAGGAGTTGAAAAGATCCTGAGATCTTAACTGTAATTGTTAGGCACTAATTTATCTACATTTTGAATTTTGAATTGTAAACATAATCTCGTAATTACTTAGCTTCATTGTACTATAAATATCCAATGTATT